GCAATCTTCATGGGTTTGGATTAGGTGGAAAACATGTCATCTAGAGGCAATCGTTGGTTCTGATTGGCCTGTTTTCAAAATTCATCTCTTCTGAAACTATGAGGTGAAATACTTTGATACATGGGGGGGGGGGGGGCCTGATGAAATGAAGACCTTCACACAGATTCTCATTTAATGTGTATCAGGTAGTCCACTAGATGATATTGAGGCACATACATGTAGTTTCCATTGAAATTGAAACCGTATAGAAAATCATCTTCTCATCTGAAACTATTTGGCCAATTTTTAATCAGACTTGGTAGAAACTTTAGGGGATTTATGAAAACAAAGCCATCTGAAGCTTATTTGTCAGAAGTTATCCTGTTTATAAACAAATTATGATGAAAATTCATTCAACACATGATGTATACATACCATAGTTCAAGTTGTGGGAGGACTTCCTGACAGAAGTGATGTATTGTCATCAGGAAGTTCCTGTAACTGAAGAAGTGATGGAATGCAACTCCACAAAAAGCTAATTAGAAATTTCAATTACACTTTTTATCAATTATAACTGCATGTACTAATATTTATCATGACTGATACTAAATGGTAACTGACTTATGAAGGATTTATCTGGAGACATTTTTCTGAAAAGTACCACATATTCACAATTTTACCACTACTGATAAAGTCTTTTTATTCCTGTAGGAAACAGTAGGACTTTTGAGAAACTTGTTAGAAAGGTTGTTAGAAAAGGAAATCAGACATGTGTACTTTATCAAAGACTCTGATAATAATACTTGAAGTTGGTTTGAGCATGGAAAGGAAATAGAAATTTTAATATGATATACTTCCATGGTCTTAGCTTTTCAAGTTTTTTCTTCTATTTGATTAATTTCTTTCATGTTCAACTTTCAAGTGTATTCTCTAAGGTCTTAGTATTGTAGGTAAAAGGACACATTTGTTTCAACCAAGGTTATTGGATATGGCAAAAAAAAAAAATTGGTCACAATGAACTACATGAAGCTTTTAAATATAAAATATTGATAGTTTAAGAAATAAGACACAAGCAAGATGTTAGGCTGGGAACTATATTAGGCACCAAAGATTTACAGTCTAAGACTAGCAGAGAATGATAAATTTCATGACATTGGAGGAATGCTGTCTGTTTCACAAAGAAACACTTTTCTTGCTGCTCCTTGACAAGAAAGATTTATAATTTCTAATAATATGAACAGGATGAAGTTACAGATTAAAAGATGCTTCATTGTTTACATGTTTGTCCTTTTGTTTTTAAGGATAGTTGTCTCATTGTCATTCATACCACATTATTTTTATATTATAAGGTGTATTTTTAGTCCTATGGCCATTAGTTGTATCACAGTTCCATTCCACACATTATAACCTGGTGACTTAGAAGAACAATGTGTTCCTATTTTTTTAGCATCTGACTTCGTCTGACTTCGACAGAAGAATTTGTACAGAGGAAGTAATAACACTATAATTGTCAGTCTGATTTTGTCTTCAAGAGTAATTACACACTTCTAACACACTACCTGTCTTATTGTTTTATTCTCATCTATAAATACCAACTTTTCTTTATGCCTAATTCTTGTATATTTACAAGTTGCCTTTACACTCTTAATGTGGAAAGTACTATGACCTAACATGACTCTCTTGTACTATTATTTATCTCCAGTAGGGAACAATTAAGCCACAGTGTTATGTTGTTTTAAGCAGATGCCAGTAGATAACAATAACTAGTTACTGTAGTTATGTCATACATTATAAGATTGTTCATATCATATATCCATGCACAACATTGTGATAAAACAGATATAAGGATATACTTTTTGCTTTCTTTTTGTTAAGGTTTTTTATTTTAGTATATGATTGATATTAAAACATTTTGATGATAATATTTGAGGTAATCTTTTTTCAGACCATTTATTACTACATTTACTACAGTAGTACTATATAAGTATTGTAGGACTCTAATGATCTGAGATATGTTTATCACAATGTATCCTGAGTTTAATCAGACTGCTTGTAGTGAAGAAATGGCAAAATAATGCACTTGTGAAAAACAGGCAGTGCAATATCATATATAAACTCCTTTGATCTCTATAACTGTGCCACTTTTACTATGAAGCTTCATAAATGTAGCATACAACTTTTTGGCAAAGGTGAAAATTTAGAGTTGTTGGACATTTTTTCAACATTCATATTCCTCCAATTTGGTCCGAGTACACAGTTATCGTCCTTTGATTTTCGTTGTCCACAAATGTAGTCCCTAGTGTGGACAGTGTGTTACTTGCCATTTTTTTTTATACCCCTTCCAAATTTATTTCTCCATGTTTTATGACTCAAATAGCAAGTAGGGGGTGAAATGACACTGTAAACAAAATTGGGTCATGAATTTTAAAGTAAAGTAGTGATTTGGTCCAGCTGAAAAATGTTAAAAATTAGCACTTCGGAAGCTGTCAAAAGATTTGAAGACCCCCTTAACATAAAATTGTCCATATTTTGAGTTTGAGCCGATGAAGTTTTCTATAATTTTGATATAATTTGTCCCAAAAGTAGTACAACACACTGTAAAAATATTATTGAGAAAGCGCAGGTGGGATTTTTTTAATTTTCATTTATTGTCTAAAAGAAATGCACTACGAAATAACTGTGTACTCGGACCTAAGAGGTGAAATCAGGAAATATAGAATCTGTACTATGGCAACTTCCCTGAATGATTTGATGGTGTCAATTTGTCAAATATCATAAAACTAAAGGATTTAAACTTTTATTTGATAGAATTTCTGCAAAAATGACCAATTTGGGCATATTATGGTCAAAATAAGCATTTTATAGCTTTTTCAATTTTGATGCATTCTGACTTTCTATCTGACAGGTTTTTATGTGTCAATATTTTTGTTTCTATGCTTCAATCCAGTTGTATTACTCATTTGTGAACTCTGAATCTACAGAAAAGAAGATTATCTCAGACAATATGTACAAAATGTGTTGTATATATGACCCTCGTCTAACGCCCTGTTTGGATCAAGTTAAATATGAGGAGCTTGGAACATAAAAGTTGAAGTCCATAATAAAGACCTCACTAAATTTGTATAAAAAGCACTTAACAATGTCTTTTGTACCTGTTTCATGTCACATAATATCTTTCTTTTCTTCTGTAGGATAGCAAGTGGTTCAAATATAAGCTTGTTGTGACTAAAATTGCATGCATGTTTTTCACTAAAAAGTGAAAAATCTTTGTATCAGACCATACTGTCAGCAAAAAAAGTTGAATGCAAGAGTCTTTTTGTGCTCAGACTTATTGTATCATGTCACTTGAGTATAGAAATGATAGAAAAGACACAAATTTTTATTTCCTATAGCTTCAATATGCATTTTAAATGTAAATATGTGCTACGGCCTAAATTGACCCTAAATTATTTTCAGTCTTACTTGGCCTAAGACCCTTTTAAACTAATATGATATGTTATTTGTGAGTTTTCTTTCCATTTAAAGTACATTAAATACATATGTAAGGATTATTTATAACCAAAAAGCTTTACAAATTTAAAATTGCTGGAAAATATTACATCTTCATGTAAGGCCCCCCTTCATTTGAAAACCTCCATTTTTAGGCACATGCTCATATAAATTTGACTTTTTAATAATTATGATAAGTCTGATAAATCAAATGAGTACTCAATTGTTTTTAATACATAATATTTTATATATTAAGGCATTTCAAAAGTTTTTTTTTGCAATATTTAAATTTTTTAATCAAATGTTGATAGTTGAAATTTTTCAATTTTAACATCTAAATTTAACACGCAAAGTTGAATATAGAATTAGTCATATTGTCTATAATATATATCCTATTGCCATGAAACTTTGTAGGCAGTCTTATAATTTATTAAGCTTTGGTCATACCAAGTTTCATTAAGATTGGTCAATCTTTTTCTACCCTATTAGGTCTGAGTACATAGTTATCGTCCTTTGATGTAGTCCCTAGTGTGGACAGTGTGTTACTTGCCATTTTTTTTATACCCCTTCCAAATTTATTTCTCCATGTTTTATGACTCAAATAGCAAGTAGGGGGGTGAAATGACACTGTAAAAATATTTGGGTCATGAATTTTAAAGTAAAGTAGTGATTTGGTCCAGCTGAAAAATGTTAAAAATTAGCACTTCGGAAGCTGTCAAAAGATTTGAAGACCCCCTTAACATAAAATTGTCCATATTTTGAGTTAGAGCCGATGAAGTTTTCTATAATTTTGATATAATTTGTCCCAAAAGTAGTACAACACACTGTAAAAATATTATTGAGAAAGCGCAGGTGGGATTTTTTTAATTTTCATTTATTGTCTAAAAGAAATGCACTACGAAATAACTGTGTACTCGGACCATTTCTTACAGTTGAAGCTTATACTGAATTTATGTACTACTGCCTTATTAAGTATTACAAAGAATTTATTTTGACTGTTCCATCAGCTGTATTTTTACTGCTAAAAATCCAAAGTTGAGTCTCAATGAGATAAAACATGGGGATATTATTATATGAGAACTAGTGGGTAAATAAAACATACTGTTAAAGACTGTACAGTGACCTATAGTTGTTTACATCTTTGTCCTTTACTCAGTCTCATTGTCTCCTTATCATATCTTATGTATCTCCAAAAAGAAGTAATGTTTGTGACTCAGCTACATTTATAAAGTTCTACCCATATAGTCTTGTTACTGTTAATCAGATTTCTTGCATGATCAATTTTGTTTGGATCCTGTCTGTATCAGGGCTTAAAAAAATATTTGAGCGAGTCAGACAGTTTTTCTTATTCTGATTTTAAACTGGTAAGACTTAGTCAAACAAAAGAATTTGCTGCTTCTCCATGTGGTAAATAGCTTGCAGGCACCTGTCTGGCAATTTCTGAATTCATGGTTGTAATCTTGATTGATTTTAAATTGAAAGAATCTTTTAAAAGAAAAGACCTTAATAATTGTTTTCTTGTATATTTACAGGAGGTGGTGCACCAAGTCTTTCAAAAATGGCTGATATTGAAATTGACCTGAATAACATAGGTAAGTCATGAGAAAATACACTTGAGATATCAAAGACATGTTCAAAAAGCAATGTCATGGTATTAAGAGTCACAAACAAGATAACATTTCAACAAGTTAGTACAAGATGTAGGAACAGTATGTACTAGTTTTTATAATGAATGATTAAAGAAATGCAAGGTGGAATGTTGATATCAATTTTTTTTACAGAATATTAATTTGGTAACACACATATTTACAAAATGAAATAATGGGAAACAACTTTTGTGTTTATAATTGGTAGAAAGAAACCTTTAATTTAACCATCTTAGGAGGACAGACATTTTTAAGCACAATAAATTTCTAAAGGAATTATGACTCAATAATGAGTCTTACTCTGAATGCAAAAACTCTTGTTTGGGTTTTTTGGCTCTTTCAGAGTTGACAATGTTTCACCGTCACTGAAATAATTAACTTATACAGAAATTGAGCCAAAGAAGTATGTAGGTTTTCAGGAATATTGAAACTTCTATCAAAAATATTATTATCACAAATAGCAATAAACCTGTTTCCTTCAATAATTGTTCCTCTTCCAATTTTTCATCATCTATTACCTACGTAATAATTAAGTTAATGGCTTAACACTAATAATAAATAATATCAAAATATGTTGTTGTTTTGGATTGATAGGGTTTTCAATAAATTGTATCCAAACTTTTGTAGAGAGTTTCTTAATAGTTTCTAATGATTTCCTTATTTTTGATATATTGCAAGTTAACATGTATTCAGAATCTGTTGATGAAAAATAGCTGCCAAGAATAAGATATGTAAATAATATTGTATCATCTATAGAGGTTAATTAACTCTGTAATGTTAAAGGTAGTAGAAACTACTAGAAAGTTAAGAAGCTGGAGAAATTCCAGGTTGTCTTTGTCTATATTTACTTGTAAATGCTTAGATGTAGATCTGATAGGAACAACATGGAGAAATTCTATGCTGATACAGAGATCATTGATAAACCATTGTTTATAAAATTGGGTATAAAAGCATATTTAACAGATAGTTTATGATTGTTAAAAAATAAGTAAATGGTATTTTGTTGATATGTATAAATACAGGAAATATTAACATAATAAAAATCAAATTAAAGTTTAAATTAGCAATTTCACCCTTATCAAAACTTTTAACTTTCAAAAGAACTCATTAAAGGCAATGAAATGTGAATATTTAAGCAAGCGTTTTTTTTTTATACATTTTTGTATCTCATTTTCCATAAAAGGTGTGATAGGTGAGACATAGGTATGAATTTTCTGGCAACAGCAGCCGTAAAATTTGCAGATGACCTCAATATTTTATCCCTACTTTCACTAAGGATCATGTCTGGTATATTATCATATGGCTTGACATTAGTTTGAAGCTGGTCAAAGTTTTATTTCCAGGAAAGTAATTCAATAATATTTGATATGTAGATTTGTTTGAACTTGGAAGGCGTGCATGTCCATCTTAAAATTCTATAGAAAACTAAGGTTCTAACTCCCTCGGGAAAAACTGACCTAAGATGAATTTGGCTATTCATTTTTGGTCCTTTTTGGTCATATAGCTCCTAATGTTGCTACATATTTTTCCATCCCTGGCTTTCAAATGTTTAGGTTTAAGCATTCCTTAACCCTGTGATGAGGGTCAATCAAAAGTACTTTGATTGCACAAAATTTATAAACAGAAAAAATTATTTACAGTTTTACACATGTGATATGTTCTTGATCTAATTTTTAGTAGTAATTTAAGTTGTTGTACATAAAAGGTTGAAAAAATAAACTGTGTACAGATATGTGAATAAATTATGCATGCATAAAAATGTGCAACTGACAGATTTCATTTGACCAGTGGTCAGTGAATTTACCTGTTTCAGAGATCATTTTTCTTTTTATGAAATGTTGAGACTGAGTATGAGTTTCTTTACAAGTAACTTCATCTAAAAAATTCCATGCATATTGATTTAAAAATAGAGTTAAAACAGTTTTCTTACAGGATGAGTTTGTCTATGTTAAACTGTAAAATTAGAATTCCTTCTTAAAATTCTTACTTCTACAAACATCTGGTATATTTAGAAAATAATATGTAGAGGCTTACTCATACATCAATTAACTTGACTCATCCCAATTTAGAATCAACTTCTCAATTTATCAACATGTTTCATGGTTTAGTAATTTTATAGTATTATAGGTTTAAAATAACATTGTTTGCATAGTTAAAGTTGGTAAATGGAATTCCAAGGTAAAAAGGGGGGAAGAAGATACAAAAGGGGCAATAAAAAAATGAAAGTTTAAGAAAAGCAAACATTGCCATGCATCAATAAAACAACCTAAATACAAAGCATTTCACAGAAAAATGAAGATTGAGCAACAACATATTTGGTATATGGGATCCTTGCAATGTCAACATGTCTGTCAGACAGGGTTCACCTGACCTCTACCTCATTTCATGGATCAGTGATTAAGGTTAAAGTTACCTGATTAGATCTGTTTTTATACGACCGCAAAAAAATTTTGTGGTCGTATATTGGTATGACGTTGGCGTCGTCGTCGTCGTCGTCCGGCGTCGTTGTCCGAATACATATTGGTTTTCGCACTCTAACTTTAGTTTAAGTGAATGGATCTTTTTGAAATTTGACCATAAGGTTAAATACCACAAAAGGAAGGTTGGGATTGATTTTGGGGGTTATGGTACCAACAGTTAAGGAATTAGGGGCCAAAAAGGGGCCAAAAATGAGCATTTTCTAGTTTCCAGACAATAACTGTGGAACGGTGTATGGATCTCTCTGAAATTATACTACAAGTTTCCATACCACAAAGGGATGGTTAGGATTTGCTTTGGGGGGTTATGGCTCAAACCGTTTAGGAATTAGGGGCAAAAAAGGGGGAAAAACAAGGTTGTCCTGGTTAATGGACAAATACTTTAGTACAAAACATAATTTAAAGCAGTGTAAGGGAGATAAATCAAATACATCATTGAAATTATCTCCCTTACACTGCTTTTAAATTATGAATAAAGTAATGGTTAATGAACAATAAAGATAATCTAAAACAGTGTAAGGGAGGTAATCCAAATACAATATTTTGGTTACTTCCCTTACACTGCTTTTAAATTATGTTTAAAGAAATGCATATTTATAAAGGAAGACCAGTAAAAATATCTGCAAATGTTTTCATCTTTCTTTTTACAAAAAAATCCATATGAAAGATTTGACACTATATTTTTATTAATTCTATTATAAAATAGATTAAGTTAGCACTATGGTAAATTTAAATGGGTAATTATGGTTGCCAACTCCATTGGAAATTTGAATTGAGATTATGACCATATCTTGAGGGAAAGAATTTTTTTTGGGGAAAAAGGGGGGGGGGGGATAAAAAGAAATTGTGGGGGGCCAATTTTTTCTCATTTCAGATTTCAGAAATTAAAAAGAATTATTCTTCAAATATTATTTTTTTTTCAAATTTCAAATATTGAAAAATTTCAAGAAGTAATCTTTAATTGCACAGTATGGCGCATTAGATTTGTAAAATCTTTGATCACATTTATTTATTTGTTATGCCGAATCTAACAGTGTATTTAGATTTTTAATTTTGGGTCCAGTTTTCAAATTGGTCTACATTAATGTCCAAAGGGTCCAAAATTAAACTTTGTTTGATTTTAGCAAAAATTGAATATATGAGGTTCTTTGATATGCTGAATCTAAACATGTATTTAGATTTTTGATTTTTGGCCCAGTTTTCAAGTTGGTCCAAATTGGGATCCAAAATTAAACTTTGTTTGATTTCAACAAAAATTGAATATATGGGGTTCTTTGATATGCTGAATCTAACCATGTATTTAGATTTTTTATTTGTGGACCCCGTTATCTAATTGGTTCATATTGAGGTCAAAAGGGTCCAAAATTAAACTTTGTTTGATTTCATCTAAAATTGAATTATTGGGGTTCTTTGATATTCCAAATCTAACCGTGTATTTAGGTTTTTAATTTTGGGTCCTGTTTTTTAAATTGGTCTACATTGAGGTCCAAAGGGTCCAAAATTAAACTTAGTTTGATTTTGACAAAAATTGAATTCTTGGGGTTCTTTGATTTGCTGAATCTAAACATGTGTTTAGATTTTTGATTATGGGCCCAGTTTTCAAGTTGGTCCAAGATAGGGTCCAGTATTTAAACTTTGTTTGATTTCAACAAAAATTGAATATATGGGGTTCTTTGATATGCTGAATCTAAACATGTATTTAGATTTTTGATTATGGGCCCAGTTTTCAAGTTGGTCCAAATTGGGGTCCAAAATTAAACTTTGTTTGATTTCAACAAAAATTGAATATATGAGGTTCTTTGATATGCTGAATCTAACCATGTATTTAGATTTTTTATTTGTAGGCCCCGCTATCAAATTGGTTCATATTGAGGTCAAAAGGGTCCAAAATTAAACTTTGTTTGATTTCATCGAAAATTGAATTATTGGGGTTCTTTGATATGCCAAATCTAACCGTGTTTTTAGATTTTTAATTTGGGTCCCGTTTTTTAAATTGGTCTTCATTGAGGTCCAAAGGGTCCAAAATTAAACTTAGTTTGATTTTAACAAAAATTGAATTCTTGGGGTTCTTTGATATGCTGAATCTAAACATGTGTTTAGATTTTTGATTATGGGCCCAGTTTTCAAGTTGGTCCAAGTTGGGGTCCAAAATTAAACTTTTTTTGATTTCAACAAAAATTGAATATATGGGGTTCTTTGATATGCTGAATCTAACCATGAATTTAGATTTTTTATTTGTGGGCCCCGCTATCAAATTGGTTCATATTGAGGTCAAAAGGGTCCAAAATTAAAGTTTGTTTGATTTCATCAAAAATTGAATTATTGGGGTTCTTTGATATTCCAAATCTAACCGTGTATTTAGATTTTTAATTTTAAGTCCTGTTTTTTAAATTGGTCTACATTAAGGTCCAAAGGGTCCAAAATTAAACTTAGTTTGATTTTAGCAAAAATTGAATTCTTGGGGTTCTTTGATATGCTGAATCTAAACATGTGTTTAGATTTTTGATTATGGGCCCAGTTTTCAAGTTTGTCCAAGTTGGGGTCCAAAATTAAACTTTGTTTGATTTCAACAAAAATTGAATATATGGGGTTCTTTGATATGCTGAATCTAACCATGTATTTTGATTTTGGACATTGGACCATAATAGGTAAATTAAAAAAATTCAAGTTCTTAGACCACATTCTTTCTGTGTCAGAAACCTATGCTGTGTCAAATATTTAATAACAATCCAAATTCAGAGCTGTATCAAGCTTGAATGTTGTGTCCATACTTGCCCCAACTGTTCAGGGTTCGACCTCTGCGGTCGTATCAAGCTGCGCCCCAGCGAAGCATTTTATTCAGATACTGTTACTAGTAGGTCAACTATATGTGGTGTATGGAATGATTGTAAGGGGTTCATGTCAGTCTGGCAGTTTTCATCTAACCATGAACTCTTTTTCATGGTTCAATTGTCAATAATAAGTTTTTGTGTTTTGGTCTGTTTTTTAAGTACTGTTAGCATTATCTGTCAACTATATTTGGTGTATGGAATGATTGTAAGGTGTGCATGTCTATCTGGCGGGTATCATCTGACCTTGACCTCATTTTCATGGTTCATTGGTCAATATCAAGTTTTTTGGTTTTGGTCTGTTTTTCAATTACCATAAGCAATAGGTCAACTATATTTGGTGTATGGAATAATTGTAATCTGTTAGAATTATCTGTCCTTGACCTTATTGTGAATGTTAAGTTTATGTCATACTCATAGTAAAACCTTTATCTTTAGAACTTTCAACATGATATCAATGGTCAGTAAAGCAAGCTAGAAGTTTCTGCATGTGCACTCTTGTCTATTTACTTCTCACCATTGATCTGCACTGCAGCGAATCAGTATTGATAACAGTATACTGTGGATTCATTGTTATTTGTGGGATACCAATTCTTGTGGATTTCATTGGTATCGGTAAACAACGAATTTAAAGATTCATAGAAGAACACATTTTCTAAAGGCTTGTATACAGACTTTAGAAAATCCACAAAATCAAATATCCATGAAAATAAAAGTTTTCCTCAATCCACAAAAATTGATATCCACGAAAATAAATAAATCCACAGTACTTCCCAACAGGGGAAATGAGATTCTGGTTATCGGAGATGAGTTTCTATGGAGGAATTAAAGGTCATTTGGAAAGTTCTAGTTCACCCAGCTATTAATAGAAAAACTTGGCTTTTTTTAGTTATCACTTAAAGCATGCATCCAATCTTTACAAATTTGATTGTGTTTTATGATAATGAATTTAGAATAGGTTCTTGGACAGTGGCTATGTTGTTCTCTAAGGGTTTGGACAAAAAATATATCTTAAGTGGAAATAAATAGCTTTTAGTTCAGTAAGTACCTGTATACTTATATATGCAGGTAATAAATTGTATAAAATAACAGATGAAGGTTCATTTTAAAAACACAAAAGAACAACATTTTTGAAATATAAAAATAAGAAGAAGTGGTATGATTGCCAATGAGACAACCCTCCACCAGAAGCCAACAACGTAGAAGTTAGCAACTAAACGTCACAGTACCTCCTTCAATAATGAGCAAAACTCATACCGCATAGTAAGCTATAAAAGGCCCAAAAATGACATGTAAAACAATTCAAACGAGAAAACTAACGGCCTGATTTTTGTACAAAACAATAAATGAAAAAACATATGAAATACAGCAACAAATGACAACCACTCAATTATAGGCTTCTGACTTGCGACAGGCATATACAGAATGTTGCAGGGTTAAACATGTTTGCTAATGCCAAACCCTTCCCCTTACCTGGGTCAGAATGGTAACAATACAACAATTGAACAAACTATAAAAAGCCTGTATTTTTCAGATTACAACCAGATTCCAGGTTATACACCCATTACAGCAGCTGTACCAAACTGGAAAAGAGACATGATTGAAAAGAAGAACCAAGAAAAAGTAGAAGAATATATAGTAAGTTTGTAAAACTATATTTATATTTGCCTTCTGATTTGTCATATTGTTTCACATTGTCAGAAAAACTGCTTTGATCCATCTTGAATTGTCAGCTTCACAATGATAGGAAGAGATAGCATAGAAGGATAAAAAGCAACATAGCTATGAATGCTTGGCTGCCACAAGCCATGTATTCATGTGGTAACTTTTCAGACACATCTTGCTTAAAACTCTTAAAGTCAAATGGATCGATAGGCCACACTCTCACGGTCTGTATTCATACTGATATATAAAATGGGAAGGCCACTCGGGCCCGTCTATTCCTGCTGCTGCACACAGCCGGAAATAATTTCCCTGCTGACAAGCCGAGGCCTTGATATTTTTTCTCCCCTTGGTCGGCGAACAGTTGCCCCGGCCTAACTTTCCCTGTCGTCAGGAGCAAGACTAAGTAGAAGAATATATAGTAAGTTTGTAAAACTTTATATTTGCCTCCTGATTTGCCTCCACTTATTCAGAAAAACTACTTTGTAGTACTGCAACTGACCTCGAAAAAGACACTTAGTTAACGAGTTTAATGTTCCGGAATAACACACGGCTGCAAATTGTTTTAAATGATAGAATAATATCTATATTTTAATTTCCATCTGGTCGTAAAAAGTTTCTTTGGTCACATTTTTGTATTTTAGCACTTTAATGGGGTACCCCTCAATTTACGGTTTTGGTTACTCACCTTAAAAGTAAAAAACAAAAAAATATTGTTAAATTTCCGGATCTTTTCGTCAATATTTTCGATGCACATATCATCAAGGATCATTGGAATGATGAAGACATAAATATAATACCACCCCCAGTAAAACTCTAAAACTTAAAAGTTGGCAGTTATTTAGATGGAAATTTGACGCATCTTTCTTTGAAAACGAGAAAACATATGATTCAAAAATAGTAATTGACATTTGAGGGGACAGAATATATTATTGCGATACTGCATGCAAATTTTGTTTGGAAAATTCGCAACAATTTTGTCTAAAACTCAAAAATAAAAACATCATTTGTACCTTTTTTATTACGGAAATTTTGTATCCGTCATTCAGCTCCATCATTTAGTTTTTCCTTCATAATGAATTTGATAGTTTCTATGTGATTATGTTCATTTTCTTGGATACGTTAATTAATTTGAGTTTTTCAAAGTGTGACTTGATTATATATAGTAGTGTATTTTCTGTAAATAAGTTATATTTTTGTTGATAAAATTTTGACTTTTTATAAAAGTTAACCAAATCCTTCGGATAAGATGTTTTTCCGGATAATGACTAGTTGAGGAAGTCCTGTAAAGTTTACTCCTACTAGTCCCAAAAGGAGTAGGCTTGAAAAGTGTGGGAAAAATACATTGTAAGTCAATGTTCAACCTCAGAGCAATTAATATGCATGCAAGCGGTCGGAGAAAAGTACTATTGATGTTGCCACAACAAACTTCTCTTGATATTCTGCTTTTCTTGGACGAAAGAGTTGTGAATGATCAGTGATGTTATATGACTTACACCAGAAGAAAAAAATTGTAGCGTCTTTAAATTAGAAACAACAGAGAGCCAAATATGTGATCAATCTGATCCACATGTATCCTCACAACCTGACACTTTTATACAATTTCACGCTCAGTTTCCTCCTTGTAGTTTGGATATGAAAACATGTCTTTTTGTGTAAAAGCAAACATTTTAAAAAGAAAAGAAAGCTACACAAAACTGAGTCGCCTGAACGTGTTGACAGCCTTTGAGGTGTGCTAATGTGAGTAATCATTTATCATGGTAAAGGTAATCGCGAGTACAGATTTACTTTCAAATGCAGTCTACCTTTCAGCAAGCATTACCATGTACTTATTGAAGTCAACACCTATGCAATATGGTTAAACAGTTACTGAAGAATCAGAATATGAACTTGCTCAATTCATTGATAACGATTGTTAATGATGATATGTTCTTCCATCATTAAAAAGGCCTTTTTCATGTAGCACATCCTCGACATATACCTATCACTTTTACCCAAGAATGTCTATGATGCTTACCCAACTGCCAAACTCCAGAACAAAATAACTAGTTATTATGACACCTTGCAATTCAGACACAGCGGGGACAAGGGGTGTCAATTATTGAGTTTAGCTCTGAGCTCACCTTAGGGGATGCCATATCTGTTACAGGAAAATTGAAGTCTATGTTAAGACTTTCAGAATTACATTAAGGTGTGTCTGAAGATATCAATGATACATTTATAGGAGAACGATTACTTCACTCTGCCGCTTGCGCTCTTAGGAGCTCTGTCATCGTTGGGTGCTTCTATGGAAAAGATGCCCAAATCGCATTTTAATTTCATTTGTTAGTTAATTGATGAATAATTACACAAAGGCGCTTCTGAATCGTATGTTGTCCCTAAAGATGATAAAAAGAAATCGTAAATGTATGGCTATTACAAATCAATCGTTTCTGTAGCAAAATCGACATTCGCCTATTACATTCGGGATTGGCCGTGCAGTTAAATCATATAGATATGGGAAAATAGGTCACAAACATTGATAGAAACTTAATTTGTTCTTGCATGGCTTTTGTGTTTCCTATGCAGAGGTAAGACTAGAATACCTGACAAGCATTGCCATGCACGAGTTTGACCGAACCAAGACGATATTAACGCTCCTGGTGGCATTGTTTCAAAACACCAAGGGGGTGTTTGATACAAAAAGGTACCGACAATATAGTCATCAACACGGAGACAATTGATATTGAGGAACGTTTCATTCTATGACACAAACAGACTTTCAGGTTTGTCAATCCACTATTGATTCTCTAGTTTGCGTCAGATGAAAGTGAAGAGAGATCAAGATAACACTTTTTATTTGACTGGCAGTGCATCATCGTTGGCAGCGGTTTCATTATATCAAAGGTAAGAGAAGTCTTTCGCGTTCCGAATGCTTTCAAAAACATTTACAATTGTGCTGAAAAAAAATGGAAAACACATCAGAGATTCCTTGGGTAATATTGCACTCCATGTCAAAATATTTTGGAAATTTTCCTGTTCAATCAGAAACGTTTGACCATCAAGTTATTTAATATTATAACGGATATAACAACTTTTTCTGACTTCAGGCTTGAATTTTCAATCGGGAAGACAAAAATGGATTAACCCCAACATTTTTCAATGGATAAATGTCATCATATTACTTACAAGTTCAACTTTGTACCTGCAAAGGTAAATCTTTATGCTCAAAAGCTGTGTTTGCTTTGAAAAAACTCTGTCCTGCACCGAACTTGTTTGTGTCATGAAAGGGAAGTGTGTTGTAATGCAAATACGCGTACCGAATCCGCATACGATGACGAAGAGATTGATTCATATCCCTATTTAACAAAGACTAGAGTTATCATATAAGGGTCTTGGTCGATTTCAAATAACAACATTAGCAAATTTGCATTACATTGTATTTTCCATTACTTTCTTAAAAAATTGATGAGTCTACACTATTTTACCAGGATAATCCCACTAAGACAATGTTCATGCACCAAACTGAGTTTGTTTTACACTCAACCAACCGCTAAATCAATGCAAGTCACACTTATGATTTTTTTTAAACCTCGCATTCGCCTCGGTTGACTATGATATTTTTTTGTGTTATAACTGATCTGTTCAGACTTTGCAAATACACAATATTTATTTATCTATAACTAGATATTAATTTTCCCAAAATACACAACCTTTTAGATGCAAAATTAAAAACACTGATTAAGCGCTTGAATTTTGTTTTTTTCAAAGATAGAAACAATATTGAAATAATTTGATAAACTGGTGTTTTATGGTTTAGAAAATAATTCTGTAATATACTGTAGTGAAAAATTATTAGCAATATGAAAGTTAATGGATGTAAAAAGGTCAAGGCCACTTCTACTTTTGCTATGTCATAAATGGATAAAAATCAGAAGGTTCCAGATTAACGCCATTTTGTAATAGCAGCTCTTCATATAAATTATAAAATTTGACGTTTTAATATCCTTTGCAGCATATGCTTATGATTGAACTGTTTTTGTAGCATTCTAATGAATAAATATTAGAAAATTTCTCCTTTTTGTCCTTGTTGTTAAAATATTAATATTTTTAGGCCTGACCTTTGACCCAATTTTCACAAAAATGTGACCACTCTGGATTTTTACGACAAAACTTTTATTACTGTACACGTTTTCCTCTTTCCATCGATATATAATTTAGGTGTGTGTTCTTCCGGAACATTAAAGTTTTAAAAAATGAACACTGGTTGCAGTACTATTTGATCTGTCTTGATTTTTCCCTCTGAAAATATTTTTCATTTTTGAAGAACAATCAAAATTAAGACACTTGAAAGCAAGATTTTAAGCAACTTCAATCCAAAGTGGTCAATTTTACAGTCATGTCTTTCATTTAATAGACTAATAGGGATTTTTATCAATTTGAACGAAAAGGAACAAATTGGATACCAATTTTTCGCCTGGAAAGGATTAAACATTATCAAGTTTGCTAGGCTAATGAAAGGTTTTTTAAACAACAAATTATGATTAGTTATTAGGGGAACATAGTTTGTCTTATATATCAAAATTTAGTTCTGAAAAGTCTTCAAATCTTCTACATAAATAAAAGTTTTCAATTATATGTTTTGGAGTTTAGAGTGTTACGTCCATTTTCATTGAACTAGTACACATTTTGTTTAGGGGCCAGCTGAAGCCCGCCTCCCGGTGCAGGATTTTCTCGCTGTGTTGAAGACCCATTAGTGGCCTTCGGCTGTTTTCTGCTCTTTGGTCGGGTTGTGGTCTCTTAAACACATTCCCCATTTCCATTCTCAATTTTGCATTCATTCCAAGTTATTTTGATAATTTTACTACAAAGTAGGTTCTTTTTGTGATAAACCATTTCTCTTTTTGAAACTTTTTAAAAGTCATATGTTGCATAATAAGTTAATTGTCTGAAAAATTATGGCTCATCTTTATTATGTAATTCATATATCTGTCGGTATAAAATTTGGAAATAATTTTTAAACAAAAAAAAAAAAGATTAACATTGTAGCCTTGTTGATTCACACTATCACAGCTTTATGTGGCTTTTCAGTTTATACCAGCATTATGACATATTTGACATATTATCTTAACATGTGACCAAATTGCAAATAGTGTAAAGATGGCTGAAAAATGCAGTTTAATGTGATTAGACAAAATGGTTTACAGATAATAACTTCAGTATTTCTTACTTGTTTGAATTACACTTAAATAGATGTAGGTTAGGGGAAGAAACCTATTTATTTTGGGGTCAATAGGTCAGAGGTCAAGGTCACTGTTACTTAAAAATAGCTTGATTTTTCCTTGTTTGATTGGAATGAAACATATGCAGATGGAAGATGAAAGGAAGGAAAAGAAGACTCTTGTTTTGGGGATAACAGGTCAAAGGTCATAGGTCAAATATTTTGAACCCTTGAAATAAAAAATGTTTTCTCTAAAAAAAAATGTGCATTTTGGGGAGCATAAGTTGGTGGTGCCATCTTTTTAGTTGTTTCAATTTGGTCAGTGATGCTCTTTGATCCAAAGTTTAGGGGAAATTGGCCTTACTTTTACTCCTGTTTATTGTTTCTACAGAAAGTTTCACAGTAAACCAATTTTAGGGATCATAGGATACACAGTAATTTGATTTTAATAGGTCTAATAGATTGTATGCCCTAGTATGACAGAAAATTTCAAATCAAACAAAATCCTTCATCAGTAATAATTACTTTGTGCTGGTCACCTGGTTTGGCAAATCATGGGTAAGTTTACCATATCTGAAACCAAATCATATGTGAAAGTCTAAAAATTAGCCAATTTGAATGCTGGCATCAGATCATATATCACTTCTCAGACATCTCATCCACAATTAATATTTCCTGATTCTTACAGGAATATCTTAAAAGAAAAGAGGTAAGTTTGGCAAATCTAGTGTTCAAAATGAGTACATGTATATAAAATTAGTATCGAGCTAAAAAATTAGTATACTATATAAGTTTCTGTTCTCTTACAAAAAACACTCATATCCAGCAGTTGTGTCTGTCAAAATGTATTTCTAATTTGAATATTTAAAAATTTAAAAATTCTCAGCAACTGAATCAGCAAACAGGATGGTTAACACTCATAAAGAGGAAAACATGAAAAAAAAGCTATAAAATGTCTTTTTAAAAATTTTATAGTTGACTTTATTTTAAGTTTGAGTATTAAACCATCAAATTCTTATTGTGAACACTACATGCCAATGCATAATGTTAAATGAAAAAGAGGCTGAAATTACTTTTCTACTAACAGTGTGTGATAGTGTTTGATTTGATTATGAATATTATTAGTTTGCTTTATTATTTTTTATTTCAGGTCTCATTTTATCAGTGGAAAATATTACAGCTTGTTTCAATGTATCAAAATATTGTTTTTAAACAAAGTACAAAATGCTGTACAAAAATGCTTTGCTTAAAGAGCAATCCCAGCATGCATTGTTTTTGTCTTCATCCTTCATGGTAATTTATGAAATCTTACAAATTCTGATAATCAAATTATGATCCTTTAATTAATTTTGAATTTATATAATGTTAAGATAGAACATTATCAGATTTATTTGAGATTCCTTTAAACTTCTAGGTGCAACTTAGACGACAAAAAGAAGAACAAGAAAAATGGAAGAACGTACCTGAGTGGAAACGAAAAATTTTAATGGAGAAAGCACAGCTTAAACAAAATGAGGATTTTGAGATAGATGAGGTAATTTGACATTAAGAAATCCAGTGCCAAGTCTTTGTGTGTTATCATATTAAGACAAGTTGTGTAAGAAAATAACAACTGCTGGAACATGATGTATGATGTTTTGTTTCTGCATGGTGTGTATGTGGTTAGGTTGAATGCTATTATTCATTAAAAGAGTTTTAAATTCACTTATTTCAAACCAGGGTAGTAACAACATAAATATTTGATTGAGTGGTATATGAAAATGTAATATGTTGGAATATGGGATACTATTTATTAATTAGTGATTTAATGAGGTATACTTAAATATATAAACCCCCCTCCCTGTATGAAAGTTTTTTATTCACAGAATCCATATATTCCTGTTAATCACTCCATAACAAAATTTATCCAGATAATATTGTTTGGTGCCCATGCTGTAAACTTTTGCAAAAGTATTTTAACTTCAAAATGATTCCATTGAGTGGGGGATTTTCATGCAAGTCTTCAAATTGAAAATCATTGACCTTTTCCCACTAATTGATCTCTGAATATAATTATAAATTGTGTCTATTTAACCATATTCCTTCAAATCACTTGTAAATGTGACATCACAATTGTAAGATGTCACGAGTGTATGATCCTGTTAGTATCCTGTTAGTATATATAGCCTTAGTACACCTGTCACAATTTTTGTCAAAAGTGGAATAAAGTAAGTTTTGAAGATATATGTACTCATATTGGGGGTTTTACAACTTAAATACTCCATGTTATACAAAGAGTAAGCCCTAATTATGATGGACAACCCAATCTGTTATATATTTTGGATTTTTTATGTCGTATAAACTCTTTATTTAATTTTTAGTCGATTTATACTTTCCCCTACTAGTTGATTTTTTTCTTATATTCAATGCCTGCAGGTTTGTTTAATCTCAGAGGTCTTCATTGGTCAAAATTCAATGATGACGTCAAATATTCATGCTTTCAGACTTTACTTCTGAATTTCCCACTGGAGTGTCATGACAAAAGGCGACCATGTCTGATGATGTCACATAGAAAAACACATTATTTTGCAGATCATTTAAAAAGAAAAATGAAGATTGCCTACCTTTCGTCTACAATTCAATAGAGAAACAGTTTACTGCAATACAATATTTTCCCACTCTTGACAGTTGACTATTTAAAATTTAACTGTGTCGAGCGGAGTTATATCAAATCACATTGTACACAGTGGTTACTAAGACTCTTTATTTATCCTAACATTCCAGTAATGTAAAGAAAAAAGGACACAGTAACATGCAAAGTTTTGAAGATTTAAATTATTTGTGTCATTACTAAAATAGTTGCATGAATTTGTTTGCATGAACTAACAAATAACTAATTTATGTTTTGTAGGCCAGGAAACAAAAGGAGAAAAAAGTAAGCCATTGATTATTTGATACATTTCTATGCTTCGTAAAGCAGTTATTATTATTTCAATGTAGAGTATACACATACCATTTCTCTTCAAAAAGAAAATACACTTTTCCAATTATGATGACTATAAAAGAAATCATAAAATGTCTTGTTTGATTCATAACATTTTTTAATTCAACACTTAAATTACGATTAGAATAAAATTTTGCGCTTTTTATGATTAATTATAAGACTTCGGCTTTACAGTATCCTGACTTTACAGACGATTGCAGTTTTAGATTGCAACTGGAATGATTTAGATTTTCTCCAGCTTGCATATTTTGTTATCACTGATACTAATAATTGATTCTTTGCTCCAATTGTCTCCCAATTCCTGCATCTATGTTTTTTCATCAATGAAATTATTCAATCATTATTGAATTCTTATTTGTATCAACAAGATTTATCAAAATCTAATGGTAAAAGGCTTTGTTAAATCTTAGTAATGAAAAGAGAGATAAGTCTGATTATTAGACTTGAAAATTTTTATGAAACTTGTTGATACAAACTCTTTTTCAATAAATGTTTTCATGTTGATGTATTTACATTGTGTGTTGAAATTATGCATGTGTTTGCATTTTGTGTGTGATCATTTTGGTTGTTTGTAGAAATTTGAATCACCAGACCAAGTCAAGTTAAAACCAGTAAAACCAAAATCTGAATCTCAACCGAAAGAAACATTACCAGAAACAATGGACACAAAACCTCTACAAGAAATCAAACAAAACATTCCAGCTTTAGAAACAAAAAAGCCTGAAGTATTGAAGACGATTCAGACTAAAAATATAGTATTGGTTGAAACAGACAAATTACCACCACCACCCCCTCCAGCTGTTGTGGAGAAACCTAAGAAGAGTGTACCTGACCCTGATCTTCCCCCACCTCCTCCTCCCCCAGATGTCATGGATGATGGTGTAAGATAATATTGTACAATGAAATTGAATTTTAGTGTTTCAAAATCTAATTATTTTTTTTGTATGCACCCTTTCAAAATATTGTCTGTTGGTAAAAACTCTGGTATCGTACATGCACAGTTGATGAATTTAATACTTTAGTTGATCACTGTATATACAACAGAAAAATATAGGAAAATTTATCATGCATGTTAAAAAACACAGCTAATATTGTTATTTTGGAAGCACAAATGTGTTGTTACTAACATGAAAATAAAGTACAAGTGTGAGGTCATATGGATTTATCTGGTCCATAGAATCAAGTTTTAAGTGACATGTCATTCAACATGGAATTCAAGTTTCTTCCACACACACAAATATTTCCTGAAAAACTAGATTATCTTTCAAAGCAGGAAGTTCAGTGTAACACAAACTTTGTGTCTGATAACTTTTAATACTTTGTTTCATGTTTCCCAGCCAAAGAGCAGATATGTAGTACTTTGTCATATAATCATGTTATTTGAGACTTTTCTTCCTGTTTTCATATCCATTTCTTCCCTGTGAACCACATTGATATTGTTTAACGGTGCAAAGTCAGGATGCTAGTAATCTTTTTCATATATGTTTAATATATATTAGTTTTCTGAATCAATTTTCTTCCAGTGATCAACATATTTGGAAGGATTGAATAATCCTAAAACTAATTGAACCAAATACTGTTACAATGTACTTAGACTAGATTGTAAATCATGTAAACATGGATATAAAGGGCACTGTTAGAATATATGTAGGAACACAGAGAACTGTAACATCTTTTATTGAACGGTGTGGATAAGATGGATAAATTGTTGAGGTCATCTGACAGGGTGTTAGCATATTTACAGTGATTCACCCTTGAAGCTTAAATCAATTGCCCTTTCCCATTTTTCAAAGTAACTGAGTAAAAGGTGGCTGGACATAATTTCCATTTTGTTTGTTTTTCTTCAAAGTTTTTAATTTTCATGCTCCACCTAGGGGCATTATTTTTTTCGATCTGTGCGTCCGTATGTCCGTTCGTTCGTCTGTCCCGCTCCAGGTCAAGGTAGTTTTTGATGAAGTTGAAGTCCAATCAACTTGAAACTTAGTACATATGTTCTCTATGATATGATCTTTCTAATTTTAATGCCAAACTAGTGTTTTGACCCCAATCTCACGGTCCACTGAACATAGAAAATGATAGTACGAGTGGGGCATCCGTGTACTATGGACACATTCTTGTTTTACATATTTATTATGAACTATCTATATATTTTACCTGTTACCTATAAAATAAATACATGCAAATGTAATGAAATCCAGGGAGCACTCATAAAAAAATTAAACCTCCCATGCAATGATGCTCACAAATGTAATGTGCCCTTTTATAAAGATCTGAATTGCTAAACCTTGCATAATCATTAAATTTTCAAGTAGTATTGTTTCATATCTGTCCTATAAAATTTTATAGATAAACATTCCTCTCAAACATGTATCCAACTTCTGGTATGGGTATTATTCAAGCCTTTTATAAGTCTTCCTTTTTTTCAAGGAGAAAGTGTTATGTCTGTGAAATATTATCATACAATAACCTGCTGTAATCAAGCAGAGTATATCTTCTTCTTTTATTAGATTATATGATTTTTTTTTTAAGGAGAGGGAGGAAGAAAGAAGACGACGAGAAGAAAAGAGAAGGGAGATAGAAGCTCAAATGGATCAAGAAGAAGATTCAGGTGAAATTCCAGCATGGAAGAAAGAAATTATGATGAAACGAGGAGGGGTACTAAAGAACTGGGGGGATGAACGAGAAGATATAAACGAAACTGAATAGGTTATTTTGATTTTGTTCAAATGTGAATTTTTCATTTTCAATTGTTAAATTTTGGAATGCAAAAAAAACAAAATTTTGTAAATGATCCGTAAGGTAGTGTTATATAAAGGCGCAAGTAATGGTATATAATTTTTGACAAGCACAAAGAAGAACTTATGCAATATATTAGATAACTTACTATAATGACAAATGAATGTTAGTTCCAGTATTTTCGATGATTGAATTTTGACCAAATTTTTACAATTGTAAGATGACTAACATCACATTTGAAATAAGTATGAAAGTTATAAATGTGGTTGAGAGAGCTGCATGTTCATTTAATGAGCTATGTATATTCCAAAGGATCAGAAACTTACATTTTATCAAATTTGATGTGAATATTTATAATGTATTGTTGTCAATATGTCTATTTTTGTGCAGTAGATTTTGTTTTATGTGTTAAATATCTTAGAAATGAAGAAAGTTACTGATCTATGTTGCAAAAAAAATAAAACGACTCAAATTTTAGCAGGGTAATTTTACAGAACAATATTTAGATATGAAGGGAAAGCTTGAAAATGATTTTCTGCACAAATGTTTTGAAAAGAAATCTTTTTTATTTTCCATATGATAGGTCATTATATTCAGTTTATACAAAAACCAAACAAATAGGGTGCTAATTAATCCAATTTTGCCATTTACTAACTTAATGAAGATATAATAGCAGCAAGAAGTAGATACTAACAAAGCCATTCCATGAAGTGTTTTGTAAGCAGTATTTCTGATACCATATATAGGGTATGGTTCTAAAGTAAATTGATCTAAAAATAATTTCTACTCCCCAAGAATTTATTATTAAAGGTTCAGTCCTTACACATTGGAAGGGTGATCAAGTATGTGTGATATTTAATTAAGTCTTAACTTGAGCATACATCAGGTGTTTGAATTTTTTGTTCAGTTCTTAGAATGACCATTATTCTGAATGAAAAGAAGCAAGCTTTTTCGTTATTAACTGGCTTGTTTAATTTGCAGGTACATGTATATATTTTAATTGAATGAACTTTAATATTTGATGACATGAAAATAAAGTTTCTATTTCCAAATTGTATGATAAAATTTTTTTTGAAATTTTAAGAAATAAATGCAAATTTGTTTGTTTATTATAGATATTAGAACTGAAAATTAAACAGAATCTCAGTGAACATTCAGAAACATATTGATATTTGATGATGTACTAATGAATATTAAATCACTTCTGTTTACAGGCAAAAATGTTAGAAAAGTATCCTTAAAGAAAAAATAAGTATATCTCAAAGAATGGTAGATATTTGTATTGAGTGATATTTATAATTTTGGGTGATATTATAATGTGTGAATATAAGTTTACATCATTAAAACATTGATACTCAATTTCATGCTTAAAATATATATAAGCTGTTACAAGTTTTTTGAGAGTGTAACAAAATTAAGAAAATTAATTGATTTTATTTTCATGCATTTTGCTCTTTTCGATTTTATGCTAAGAAATAGCATGCATTTCTGTAGTATATTATATGCTAATGCACATATATGCATTATAAATCATGTTTGCATGAATTTACTTTTATGCTAATAATTTATAAGTAAGATTGATTTCATGCATCAACATTTGGAAATGTTTTAATCTGCAGACATAAGCACTTTATATGACATAAAATCAAGGACTATTATCATGAGTTTTGTTGAAAATCTGCAAATTTCAATGTTGAATGAGCCAGCTGTAGTAATTATTTGCAAACAGAATTGAAAACTTGCCTAGCTTGATTTTATACTTTTTAAATGCATTTATAAGGCCAATAACGCAGCATTATACAACATAAAAATGGCAGTTTTATAGATGATAATTGCAATGAACTTTATATTCTTATATTGTTGTTTAGAACTATATTGTAGGCTTTCTGAAGATTGTTATATATTTATGTGGAGTTCAACATCTTCTTAACCAAGAAGTATCTTGGAGGGGTGCCATATGAAAGACTATTAATATATTGTGTCATTTCTCTTTCAGACAATTTATTTTAACATTATTAGATTTAATTTATATTATGTTGATATTTATATGAACAGAGATTTAAATGGCTTTAGTTGGGATACAATTAAGCATGCTCATTATAATCCATTGATTTTTCAACAGTTTACACTGATGTACCCGGTAATCTGTAAAAAGTCAAAATCCACATTTGTCAAATAGTGAAAGTTGGTGTAATAGTTTTAGCTTTTCTGCTTAAATTTTTTGAAGCAAATGCTTTCAGTTTAGATTTTTTTCACTTTTTGCATATTGTTAACTAGTAAAATCTCTCAATTTCTCAAACTTCTTCCTGGTTCAGATAACCAGTGGAGGTGGTTGCATAATTTTTTTTTTATCATCATGCCCTCTGAAGAAGCTTTCAAAATGGCTGATTTCTTTTATGTATCACTGACACTATTTTTCAATAATAAACCAAAGGAGACGAGAGTTACTGAAATGCTTTAACTTTAAGGTTTTAAAAAATATTTGTGAGTACACAAATGTAATCTAAAATTATTTACAAAAATTATCATTCTTTGTTTAATTTACAATAATTATGATTTATCTTGTCCTATATCTCCACTAGTGTCATAGTAATGGATTTATATTAAAATCTGCACACTTTTGAAAATTTCCCCTTTTTTGAAAATTGCTTTACATTTATTTATAGAAGTTTTTTAAGGAATGAAGTTTATGTAATCGTTAACATAGCAATGCAGATTTGACTTTTTATTTTGTACAGATAAAGTTAGAAATCCTAGTAATTTATGTATTTTTTTTATGTATTTTAATATTTGTTTACATTTATTAGTGATATTTAATCTTTCAAGTGCAATATACATAAATGTTAGTTGAATCTCATACAATATTTTTTTTGAGTTTTTAGTACAGGTAAATACAAATACAAATGTACTGGTAAATGTATTATCATACAAATTTCCCAAATTTGAACATGGCCATTTGAGTAGAAAACTGTATTGTAGGGCCTATATATAAAGACGTTATAATTGGAAGAAAAAGGCCTTATACTAGAAGAAAAAACTTAACTTTAAACCGAAGTCTGTTTAAAATTTTGCTTCAATGAAAAAAATATTTACAGTTTCGATCATATTAGGCATTGATTTGTAATATTTGTTAAAATTGACTGTACTTATGGAATTGAGTATGAGGTTCAACAAATTTGATGCTTTAAAAATGCAAGTTTTATTGGTAATCAAAGCTTTACTTCTAATTTTGCTTATACATTTTTTTCAATTTGTAACATGTAAAACGGAACAAATGGTGATAGCTTCTATTGTTACTTTAATTATTGTACATGGTACATATACAGGAAAAATATTTGGCAGAAGTTAGTTATTTCAATAAATTTAAGGAATGGCCTTGAATGTTGATATAATTTTGTGTACCATTTTGTCACGAATGTTAAGGCAACACAAATTACATTCTTTGTTCTTTAAATTTTCAATAGGTGAAAAATTGAAGTGCATGAGTAACTTGATCTTGCTTTAATTTTTTTCCATAATCTATTTTTTTATAAGAGTCATGCCTAACTAAATCATTTTGAAATATTATTCTTACAAGATTTGCATAATTAGAATCCTTTGTTGTTATTTGAGGTTATTTTCATAGACTGTTTTCACCTTATTACTTCAATAACCAATATAAACAATATGATGGCTTAAATTCATTTTCAAAGAAATGTTGATAAAAAAAAAAAAAATAAGTTATATATTTCTGAAGTTGTGATCAACCAAAAATTTTCTATCAAAATCAGGTTTATATGCAAAATTTACCTGCCCAAATGTATAAACATACTATGTTACATTTGTTTTGATTTCACTCAATATTTATTGGCAATACAAATCAATGGAATATATTACACTGTGTGTCTGTGAAGGGTGTAATTAAAAAAAAAAATGATCTGATAGTTGTATTTTGTATGTTTTGATGTGTTAACTGGCCCAATTCACTCTCAAACTTTACATCGAAGTCCTTCACTAACAAAATTTACATAAGAGTCCTTTTATGTCAAATGTTTGTTTGAATATGTCCAGTTTACTCATCAATTTAATTGAAAATTATGTTTAATTCTACAGTGTTAGATCTGAACAATTAAATGTTAGCTGTGCAATATATTTCCCATTTGATTAAAATAAGTCATACATTGAACAGAAAGATAATTATTACATAGCTATATAGAAAAGTATGTTCCTGAGTGTTCATTGAAAAAAAATTGGATACCAAGTTTCGTTTTAGCAGTCTCTTTTTTCATGGTATCTGCTGATATTTTTGGACAAGCATTTTTGACTTCCATTATATTTCTTCCTTCTGATTTTGTTACCATGTCTAAAATAGTATACATACTATCTTTACATCACACAGTGAAGCAGTTAAGACTTTTCTTCTTCACTCAAATTTTACAGCTTCCAAATTAAAATTGCATGAAGAGGGCAAGGATTACAGAACTTTAATTGCTGCAGTGTATATGAAATACTCAGATATTAAAATATACCAATAACTCTTACTTTCTCTGTATTTGTTATATTTCATTGTGTTTTTCTGTTGTATCTAACTAAAACAAAATAATTGTTTTGTAATTTTGTAAGCTCTTACATTAATTATCATTGTCTATGGATATATGTATCATTATGCAGGACTTAACAAAGCCTTGATTAAAAATATAAAACATTTCCAATAAAATATTTATTTGATGCTATATGGCCATTTTATAATCCCTGTGTGTCTATGCTGAATAATTGTATTAATGTCTGTAAAAGTTATGGTCTACTTTGGAGGAGACAGAAAAGAGGGACAAGAGTCTCCTTGGAAAACACAACCTTAACAAATATTCCTGCAAAATAATTCTTTTTTGGCACTAGAGGGAAATATTTGTTAGTTTCCAGATAATCAGAATTTATATGATGTCACAATGGAATCCATACTTAGTCTAATTTACTCTCTTTCCTGTAAGATGGTTAAGTTTCTATTACAACCACACAACAATATGGTTCAAATATTCAAAAATTTCCATAATCTACATGAAGTATTCATTGACCTTCACATTTTAAAAATTCACCATCTACTTTAGGTATTACAATCCAGCGGTGGCGGCGGCGTAAACAATTTGTATAATGCTTTATATTTCAGAAGCTAGAAGACCTGGATGCTTCATATCTTATGTTACTAAGTTTTCTTCTGTCATATGTCAATTGTCCTTGACCTCATTTTCATGGTTCAGTGACTGCTTGAAAGAAAATTACTGTTTTTTTGAAAAGTGAAATTCTATATTTGGTATATGGGTTCCTTGCAAGGTCTACATATAAAAATAAGAAGATGTGGTATGATTGCCAATGAGACAACTCTCCACAAGTGACCAAATGACACAGATATTAACAACTATAGATCACTGTATGGCCTTCAACAATGAGCAAAGCCCATACTGCATGTCTGTCAGGTAGGGTTCACCTGACCTCAACCTCATTTCATGGATCATTGATCAAGGTTAAAGTTATGTGGTCAAGTCCATATCTCGGATACAATAAGCAGTAGGTCAACTATATTTAGTGTATGGAATGATTGTAAGGTGTACATGTCCGACTGGCAGGTTTCATCTGACCTTGACCCCAATTTTTTTTTTAATGGTTCATTGGACAATGTTTAGTTTTTTTGAATGGTCTATTTCTCAGATACTATAAGCAATAGGTCAAGTTTTTTTGGTGTATGGAATAATTGTAAGATGTACATGTCTGTCTGGCAGGTTCATTTGACCTTGACCTCATTTTCTTAGTGTATTGGTCAATGATAGGGTTTTGTGGTTATGTCAGGTTACTATAAACATTAGGCAACTATATTTGGTGTATGGAATAGTTGTGATGTGTACATGTCTATCTGGTAGGGTTTATATTACCTTGACCTCTTTTTCATGGTTCATTGGTCAATGTTAAGATTTTGTGGTTTGATCTGTTCCTCAGGAAATAGGTTGGAAACAATTGATTGACAAACAGATCGGTCAAAAACTATATGCTAACAATCACTTCGGAGTGAGGGGTATAATATGGGTCTCCAAAACAACAATCCTGTAAAGTTTTTAGATTTTTCACCACTTGCTGCATAAAGGGACCATGATTTGTCTGGCTATCTCCTACAGATATTTTGTAGGATGTTTATACACATAATAGAGATGTGCATGTCCACAGGATTAAGATTTTTTTTCAAATCCTTAGATTTTTGTCGAGCCTGTGACTTTTGTCGCAGAAGCTCGACATAGGGATAGTGATCCGGCGGCTACGGCAGCGTTAGCTAACTTCTTAAAAGCTTTATATTTAAGAAGGTGGAAGACCTGGATACTTCATACTTTGTATATGGATGCCTCATGTTACGAAGTTTCCGTCAGTCACATGTCCAATGTCCTTGACCTCATTTTCATGGTTCAGTGACTACTTGAAAAAAAAGTTAACATTTTTTGTAATGTTAAATTCTCTCTTATTATAAGTAATAGGATAACTATATTTGGTATGTGCGTACCTTGCAAGGTCCTCATGCCTGTCAGACAGTTTTCACTTGACCTCGACCTCATTTCATGGATCAGTGAACAAGGTTAAGTTTTGGTGGTCAAGTCCATATCTCAGATACTATAAGCAATAGGTCTAGTATATTCGGTGTATGGAAGGACTGTAAGGTGTTCATGTCCAACTGGCAGGTGTCATCTGACCTTGACCTTCTTTTCATGGTTCAGTGGTAATAGTTAAGTTTTTGTGTTTTGGTCTGTTTTTCTTATACTGTATGCAATAGGTCTACTATATTTGGTGTATGGAATGATTGTAAGGTGTACATGTCTAGCTGGCAGGTGTCATCTGACCTTGACCTCATTTTCATGGTTCAGTGGTTATAGTTAAGTTTTTGTGTTGTTTTTTTTTTTTCATACTTTATGCAATAGGTCTACTATATTTGGTCTATATTTGGTGTATGGAATGATTGTAAGGTGTACATGTCTAGCTGGCAGGTGTCATCTGACCTTGACCTCATTTTCATGGTTCAGTGGTTATAGTTCAGTTTTTGTGTTTTGGTCCGTTTTTCTTATACTTTATGCAATAGGTCTACTATATTTGGTGTATGGAATGATTGTAAGGTGTACATGTCAGTCCCGCAGGTTTTATTTGACATTGATCCATTTTCACAGTTCATTGCTCAGAGTTAAGTTTTTGTGTTTCAGTCTGTTTTTCTTAACCTATAAGCAATAGGTCAGCTATATTTGTTGTATGGAAGGATTGTGAGCTGTTCATGTCTGCCTGGCATAGTTCATCTGACCTTGACCTCATTTTCACGATTCACTGGTCAATGTTTAGTTTTCTTGGTTAAGTCTGTTTCTTAGAAACTATAAGCAATAGGTCAACTATATTTAGTGTATTGAATGATTGTAAGGTGTACATGTATTTCTCGTTTGGTTTATATGACCTTGACTTCATTTTCTATGATCATGTTAAGTTTATGTCATAGTTGTAGTAAAGCTTTCATTTAGGACTATCAACATAATATCAATGGTTAGTAAAGAAGGCGAGACATTTCAGCGTGTGCACTCTTGTTTATCTGGATTTTATTTGGACCAAACAATATGGTCATGACCATCTGCGTGTATACTTATATGGTCCGGGTAATTGACACAATGAACCGTTGAAAAGGTGTCACATAAATTAAGAGTTTCTAAAAATGAAATTTTGACTTATTTATCATATGGTAGTCATTTTTACATGATTAATTCAATAGAGTGAATATTACCTACAAGTAAGAATTAAAGTAAAATAATTTTAACATGGTCATTATCGATTTGTCCATACAAAACGCAATATGTCGACTTTGGAAAATTACTTCCAAGAAATATCTAAATGAACTGTTAAACAAGTAAATTGCTTAACTCACAGGCACTTTGGTCATTGAACCCTCTTTCTTTTAAAAATTTCTTTTGGTGTTTAAATTTGTTTTTATTAAATTATAATTTCTTAAAAATTTCTTATTGATTTTTAGTAAATTTGATCATGTGTTTTTGCTCCTATTCATACAATCTTACAATGACAGTAAGATCGTATGAAAAGAAGCCAATTTAATGAAAATATTAGAAATGAAATTTTGTTTCTGAAATAAGAATTTAAACACTAAGAAAACAGAAAAAAAATCCATGCCCCAAACGCATGTGGTTTCACTTACGGAAGAATATCTCATATGGTCATGACCATACGTATATGGTCCAAATACTCGTATGGTACAGAACATACACATAATAGAGGTGTGCATGTCCACAGGATTAAGATTTTTTTCAAATATTCTTAAAATTCCAGGTAGTTGGACTAAGTCTTTTTTTCATACTTGCTGCATAAAGGGAGCATGGTTTGTCCAGCTATTTCCTCCTAGTTTTGGAGCTACAGCTTTGACATTTTGTAGTATGTTTATACACATACTGGAGGTGTGCATGTCCACAGGATTAGCTACATAAAGGGAACATGTTTTGGCCAGCTATTTCCTCATAATTTTGGAGCTACAGCTTTTATATTTTGTAGGATGTTTATACACATACTGAAGGTGTGTATGTCCACAGGATTAACAACATAAAGGGAAAATGGAATTTGTGGGTAGCTTGAATTTACACATACTGAATGTGTCAATATCCACAGGATTAGCTATATAAAGGGAACATGGTTTGTCCTGCTATTTCCTCCTAGTTTTGGAGCTACAGCTTTGATATTTTGTAGGATGTTTATACACATACTGAAGGTGTGCATATCCACAGGATTAGCTACATAAAGAGAACATGGTTTGTCCTGCTAACTCAAGTTTTCAAGCTGGAACTGTTATATCATGTAGAGTGTTACAAAATATACAAAAATAATGCATATAGCCAGGATTTCGGTTATCTAAAATTTTCTACAAATGTCCGGATGGTGAACTTAGTTGGTCACTTTATGCCAAGTGACAAAAAATGCAGTAGTTTACCTTTATTACAGAGGTGTAAAAATGCATTACTGATAATTGTTTATTTGAAAAATGGAATTTATCATTTTAAATTTGAATAAGTAACCTCCTTTTGGTTTTGAAAAAAAAACTCGAGTTGTGAAGCTTAAAAGAAACAATATCAACTGTAAATGGCCTACTTTATAGAAAAAAATCAACTAAGGCTGTGGCATGAAAACGTGTCTTACAGACAACTATTTCAAAGTTGTACTTCTGCATCACTGTTGGTTAAATCTGTTGTTTGCAAAACTATATTTTTGCATGCAGCAGGGCCACAGGGGTGATCTTCTATTTCTAGTTTAATTTACAGGATCAAATAAAGATGTATTAAATTCAAGCTACCCACAAGTTTTTAGTCTTATTACCCAATTCAGACCAACTGTGATAAGAACCTTCTCTCCATTTTTGTTTCTGTATGGATATTAAAGTATTCTATTTCATAATGACTGTAATTCATGCAGAAGATTAGTTTTTCAACTGTTTCATATGCTCCGACTTGGTAGAATAGGCTTGGTATTTGAACCTCATCCTAAAACTTTTTCTGAATTGAGACTCAAAGATTTTTCTGTATTTTTAAGGCCTTTTTTGCTTCCAAAACCAACACTTTTTTTGTTTCCCCTGTGACAAGTCACAAAATGCATAGCATGGGATTAGAGGGTAGAATACCTGGATGCTTCATACCTTGTATACAGATGCCTTATGTTACAAACTTTCCTCCTATCATATGTCCAATGTCCTTGATCTTATTTTCAAGGTTCAGTGACTACTTCAGCAGGTGTGATCATATGACAGTTTTTAAAGTAGATACAGGATTGATGATTCTGGCTTTACTTGGAATCAATTGAACAAGCAATTTCAGATGAAAATTTTGCAATAGGTAATGGACGAAGGACGCCAAGTGATGGTAATAACTCATCAAAATGAAGGAACAAAATGATCAACTACACATGATGGCAAACAATCCTACAAAGTATGAAAGCTTTGTCCAATGGTGTTCGAGAAGTTGCTTTTACAAGATTTCATTCTGATAGGATAATCCAGTAACTCCTGTAAAAATGGTCAAATCAAAATGAAGGATTAATTTGAGTGATTGCTTGTTTGTTTTTAACACAACATTCAGCACTATTAGCTAGGTCGTGGCAGTCAGATTTTAATTGGTGGAGGAAGCATTAGTACCCACCAACCTTCAGCATGTTAACTGACAATTCTAATCAATTAAGTCTAAAGTTGAACACACAACTACTACACATGATTGCAATCAATATTATTAGTAGATATAAGAGCTTTCTGTCATATGGTCTCAAGAGTTGTCATTGTATTAAAATAGTCCAAAAATTGATGAAAGTACCATAACTCCTGTCAAAATTGTCAATTCAAACTGACACAGTTATGAAGGTAGAGTATAGTCAACAGAATATAGTGACAAATAATCCTAACATATAAGTATGCAAGCTCTCTGTCCAGCGGTCTCTGAGAATTGTGTTTCCGACTGACGAACACAGACAGAAGATGAAAACTATAACTATAGACTCTGCTGTGCCAGATAAAAAAGCTGACATTTGTCTCTGGTAATGATTATAGCTAGAAATGTAAAATTCTAATAAAGTCATTTAAGAAACATTGCAAAACTGCCACATAAAGTTTCTTGTGGGAGCATAAGGGACGACATCAAAAGATCAATGTAGGATAAAAAACTTAAATCAAATAGTTTGGGGGTGGGGGGTTAAAATTGCTGCAAGTTTTGTTTATCTAAAATCGATTTTACATATATCCATATTGGTCAATCAATTTTTCACAAATTAAGTTAAGAGGGGGGTGGGGGGATCAGTGAAAAAACTATGTGAATTAAGTTTTTTATCCTACATTGAACTTTTGATGTCGCCCCTAACATCATTAATTTATGTCAAACAGACGTCCTGGCAAGTGAAGACAGTAAACAATGATAAATGTACTTTATTATGAGAAGTAATGAACAAAGTTGTAACTAACTCACACTATGCTTTTATCAAATTTGGTTTCTTTACATTCCCTGGTACACTAGTTCAAATTTTAGTCAGATAATATAATTATAATAAATCATGATCCATATTTTGAATTTATCGGAACACAAAGTTAAATTACATGGATAATCGTAAAACTGAGAAAATCTTCTTTGTTTTATATACGTTATCTTTAAAAAACCATAAAAAATCTATTTTCAACTTACAACTACTAATTTAAATTACCAAGATTTTTTTAATTTCTTATCCATTCTTTTCAAATTTCCATTAAATTGATTTCATTAACAAATAAAATAACTTCTATAACTGAGACAAGATCTTTAATCTACAAACCATTTTGAATACAACTATACTACTAAGATTTACCTATAAAAGATAATTTGGCTTGTCAAACTCCTTAGGTAACCTTACAACATCAGATAAAGTCATTAATAATAAAACACACAAAAAATAAAACAAGACAATCTCATAACAGAAAAATCTCTTTTAAGCAATGCAATTAGCCCCATAAAGCATGATTCAACTTTAGGCAACATTGTATTTTATGATTGATCATTAAAGTTGGATCAATAGTTAAGTAGTAAATTAGTTGTCATCATGTTCATTAGGTAAATCATACATTACAGGGTTTAGCAAAAAAAATAACAATAAAGCACTAATACAATTATACATGAAAAGTTCTCATGCTGAAATTCTTATGGGTCTTCAAAGAAAAAAGCAAACAAGCTTTTGACACAAGTGTATCTAAAACATACACTATATGATTCAACAAAAAAAATTCAATTACACTCTGTCCTGAAATTCTATTTCCATTATGACATTAGTCACAGAAACTGAACCTTCAACAACCAGCTATACTGTTTAAGTAAAACAAAATTTCAAATTTGATATTCAACAATGGTTTATGAAATATAATTTCAAACAAAAATTGTATAGACCGGTATATGAGAAAACAAGACATAATAGCATTTATAATATTTGAGCACTTAATTGTCAATTCACAAATTTGAATACTGATTTTTAACTAAATATACTATTTAAGGTAACTTTGTAAATATTTGTGTCAGTCACAAAAATATTGCATACTACCTTTTATGTCATAATTTGTAAAATGAAGTACAATCTTCATATAAATAATTGCACAAAGCTTTGTATCTAGCAACATCCTGTTTAATATTATGCCATATATGTAGATGTGTGACAAATCAAGACTGTACTTACTCCTAAAAGCAAATGGCAAATTTATAGAGAATAAATAAATATAAAAAAACCTGGAATGCTGTAAAAATTTTAAGTGACTAGATTTTGTTTATCAATAATACAATGAGCGGCAAACATTTATATGAGGCAAGTCTTTGTGGATGAAAACATTTACACTGGCATATAAACTGTCAACTGTTATTGCACCCTAAAAAAATATTCAACTTGGAGATGTTCTTTATGATGTTTCTGAAAAGAAAAAAGAAATTTTATAAACTACCTAACCATTATCAATAATATATCATCTCACTTATTTTTTCACATGCTTCATGATTCTGCATTGATTATTTATAAGGTCATGGTCAGTAAACTTCAGCATGAAAACATGAACATTATTTTACATGGAAAGTTTTCACTTGATGAAATATTATTTGTCGATTATACAAATGTAATTATGGATTAGTAATAAATGTAAATAAAATGCTCCGCTGGGGCACAGCTTGATAAGACCGCAGAGGTCGAACCCTGAACAGTTGGGGCAAGTATGGACACAACATTCAAGCTTGATACAGCACTGAATTTGGATTGTAATTAAATATTTGACACAGCATAGGTTTCTGACACAGAATGAACACTGCCTGTAACCGAGTACGGCAGAAAGTGATTTTCCCCCGATTATAGTACTGATTTTCCTCGATTTTGTACTGATTTTTCATGATAAATTTTACACTATAGTTCTGTTATTCAATTTAAGTAGCTTGAACTAATCAATTGGTTAAAGATCATTTATTCTGTCTGGTCAGCAGTCATTAGTAAGTGATATCCTGAGGTGGGATTGCTTTGAAGTTACATCATGACCTTCCTTATTCTTTGTTTTGATGCTGTTGTAGCTGATTTGAGTAAAAAGAAATCTGTTTTAGTCTGCTTTTAGAAAACTGGGAATATAAATTAGATTTTTTTTCATGAAATTTTGTTCAAATATAATAATCTGAAAAATGCAAGTAGAAATTTGGACAAAATAAGCATTTAAATGGGAAAAAAACTAGCAATTAAACTTGAGCTTTGGTGTACAGATTGTCCCCGATAAGCTTGTGTTGATGACAGATTTTCCCTGATACCTATACAGATTGTCCCCGATTTTGAAAAAGCTAATCCTTCAAAAATAAAGCTAATATGTGGATCTTCATTACACTTAGGCATGTGCTAATAAAAATAGTGGAATATATGAAAAATTTTCCTGCAAACCTGTAATTCTACAATTTTATATATAAAATTGAATTAGAGATTTTTTTGTTCATTGATATTTCATTAGTTGGTTCAGAAACTTTAAACAGGTTTCTTCTTGCTTGGGGTTCATAACTTACTGTTTGTATATTTCTGGATTCATAGTTTGGTGAATTTGATAAATTGTCTGAAATGGTTAGAGATTGTGATGATTTGCCTTTTTTGATAATCTTTTGTGGTGTATTTGTTGATAAGTTACAAATTATAATTTTTTCATCTTGTATTTTGATAAAAGTTTTTCCTTCTCTGTCAAGAAGTTCTGGAATGAATGCATGGTATGTTATCTTTCACCACCCTCTTCAAGTCTTCTCCAAATGACAAGTTTTTCAGATGGATGTGTCTTCTGATGGTGAGCTTCTTCAAAGATGACATTTTTAGAAAGCTATCAAAGCAATGTTGATATTTTTTTGCAAGTAGTTAAAAATAAAACTTAGAATGATCCTTTTTTCCTTATGATACTATAAGAGAAAATCGGGGAAAATCTGTAATTAACTTCATCTTCTCTGGGACAATCTGTACACTGATAATGGACAATCAGTACACTGCATCAGAAATTGAAATCATATTTTTTTTTAGTATTTTCCTAATCTCCTTAAAAAAGTTCTTCCAGCTCTAAGTTAACTTAATTTGCACATTTGAATAAGTATTCTATAATTAGAGAAATAACATTTAGATATTTGAATAATATAAGAAAATCACTTCCCATGACTTCCTTGCTTCGGAAAAGTTTCTATTTTTAGGATTGGTCATTAAAATCCATATTGCCCATGGGAGGTCAATGATAAAAATGCATGAATGAAAAGGGAGGTTGCATAATTATTGACACAGATTTTCTTTAATTCATATATAATTACCCTTTTGATGTTCTCTACATAGGAAAATCGGGAAAAATCAGTAATCAATCAGGGAAAATCAGTACTGTAATCGGGGGAAAATCACTTTCTGCCGTACTCGGTTACAGGCAGTGATGAATGTGGTCTAAGAACTTAAAATTTTTTTAATTTACCTATTCAAACCATATCATTATTATTTGCTTTTATATATAAATCAGAAATAACCAATTTAAAATGGAAAATTTTAAAGAAAAAAAAAAGAAAAAAAAAAGAAAAAAAAATAGCCCCCCCAAAAAAAAATTTTTGAACCCCCTTATGATTCATCACCCCCAAACTTAATCCCAGCTTTCCCTTTGTGATATGGAACCTTGCAGTACAATTTCATAAAGATCCATACACTTACACACAAGTTATTGTCATGAAACTAGAAAAATGCTTGTTTTTTTTGCCCCTTTATGGCCCCTAATTCCTAAAATTTTGAGGGAATTACCTCCAAAATCAATCCCAGCCTTCCCTTTGTGGTATGGTACCTTGCAGTACAATTTCAGAGAGATCCATACACTTGAACACATGTTATTGTTTGGAAACTAGAAAAATGCTTATTTTTGGCCCCTTATACCTAAACATTTTGGGCAATTACCCTTAAAAATCAATTCCAGCTTTCCCTTTGTGATATGGAACCTTGTAGTACAATTTCATAAAGATCCATACACTTACACACAAGTTATTGTCATGAAACTAGAAAAATGCTTGTTTTTTGCCCCTTTTTGGCCCCTAATTCTTAAAATTTTGAGGCAAATACCCCCAAAATCAATCCCAGCATTCCCTTTGTGATATGGAACCTTGTGGTACAATGTCAGAGAAATCCATACACTTACACACAAGTTATTGTCATGAAACTAGAACAAGAGTGCACACCCTGAAATGTCTCGTCTTCTTTACTAATCATTGATATTATGTTGATAGTCCTAAATATAAAGCTTTATTACAACTGTCACATAAACTTAACATTAACCAAGAAAACTAAACATTGACCAATGAACCATGAAAATGAGGTCAAGGTCAGATGAACCATGCCAGGCAGACATGTACAGTTAACAATTCTTCCATATAACAAATATAGTTGACCTATTGCTTATAGATTAAGAAAAACAGACCAAAACACAAAAACTTAACACTGAGCAATGAACCGTGAAAATGAGGTCAAGGTCATATAAAACCTGCGCGACTGACATATAGATCATAAAATATTTCCATACACCAAATATAGTTGACCTATTGCATATAGTATTAGAAAAAAAGACCAAAACTCAAAAACTTAACTTTGACCACTGAACCATGAAAACGAGGTCAAGGTCAGATGACAACTGCCAGCTAGACATGTACACCTTACAATCATTCCATACACCAAATATAGTAGACCTATTGGTCCGGGTACACAGTTATCGTCCTTTGATTTTCGTTGTCCACGAATATAGTCCCTAGTGTGGACAGTGTGTTACTTGTCAATTTTTTTTATACCCCTTCCAAATTTATTTCTCCATGTTTTATGACTCAAATAGTAAGTAGGGGGGTGAAATGACACTGTAAAAAAATTTGGGTCATGAATTTTAAAGTAAAGTAGTGATTTGGTCCAGCTGAAAAATGTTAAAAATTAGCACTTCGGAAGCTGTCAAAAGATTTGAAGACCCCCTTAACATGAAATTGTTCATATTTTGAGTTAGAGCCGATGAAGTTTTCTATAATTTTGATATAATTTGTCCCAAAAGTAGTACAACACACTGTAAAAATATTTTTGAGAAAGCGCAGGTAGGATTTTTTTAATTTTCATTTATTGTCTAAAAGAAATGCACTACGAAATAACTGTGTACTCGGACCTAAGAGGTGAAATCAGGAAATATAGAATCTGTACTTTGGCAACTTCCCTGAATGATTTGATGGTGTCAATTTATCAAATAGCATAAAACTAAAGGATTTAAACTTTTATTTGATAGAATTTCTGCAAAAATGACCAATTTTGGCATTTTATGGTCAAAATAAGCATTTCATAGCTTTTTCAATTTTGATGCATAAGTGGCATTCTGACTTTCTATCTGACAGGTTTTTATGTGTCAATATTTGTATTTCTATGCTTCAATCCAGTTGTATTACTCATTTGTGAACTCTGAATCTACAGAAAAGAAGATTATCTCGGACAATATGTGCAAAATGTGTTGTATATATGATCCTCGTCTAACGCCCTGTTTGGATCAAGTTAAATGTGAGGAGCTTGGAACATAAAAGTTGAAGTCCATTATAAAGACCTCACTAAATTTGTATAAAAAGCACTTAACAATGTCCTTTGAACCTGTTTTATGTCACATAATATCTTTCTTTTCTTCTGTAGGATAGCAAGTGGTTCAAATATAAGCCTGTTGAGACTAAAATTGCATGCATGTTTTTCACTAAAAAGTGAAAAATCTTTGTATCAGACCATACTGTCTGCAAAAAAAGTTGAATGCAAGAGTCTTTTTGTGCTCAGATTTATTGTATCATGTGACCTGAGTATAGAAATGATAGAAAAGACACAAAATTTTATTTCCTATAGCTTCAATATGCATTTTTAAATGTAAATATGTGATACGGCCTAAATTGACCCTAAATTATTTTCAGTCTTACTTGGCCTAAGACCCTTTTAAACTAATGTGATATGTTATTTGTAAGTTTTCTTTCCATTTAAAGTACATTTAATACATATGTAAGGATTATTTATAACCAAAAAGCTTTACAAATTTAAAATTGCTGGAAAATATTACATCTTCATGTAAGGCCCCCCTTCATTGGAAAACCTCCGTTTTTAGCCACAGGCTCATATAAATTTGACTTTTTAATAACTATGATAAGTCTGATAAATCAAATGAGTACTCTATTGCTTTTAATACATAATATACGATATATTAAGGTATTTCAAAAGTATTTTTTTGCAATATTTTAATTTTTTAAGCCCCAAATGTTGATAGTTGAAAATTTTCAATTTTAACGTCTAAATTTAACACGCAAAGTTGAATATAAAATTAGTCATATTGTCTATAATATATATCCTATTGCCATGAAACTTTGTAAGCAGTCTTATAATTTAATAAGCTTTGGTCATACCAAGTTTTATTAAGATTGGTCAACTTTTTCTACCCTATTAGGTCCGGGTACACAGTTATCGTCCTTTGATTTTCGTTGTCCACGAATATAGTCCCTAGTGTGGACAGTGTGTTACTTGTCGATTTTTTTTATACCCCTTCCAAATTTATTTCTCCATGTTTTATGACTCAAATAGTAAGTAGGGGGGTGAAATGACACTGTAAAAAAATTTGGGTCATGAATTTTAAAGTAAAGTAGTGATTTGGTCCAGCTGAAAAATGTTAAAAATTAGCACTTCGGAAGCTGTCAAAAGATTTGAAGACCCCCTTAACATGAAATTGTTCATATTTTGAGTTAGAGCCGATGAAGTTTTCTATAATTTTGATATAATTTGTCCCAAAAGTAGTACAACACACTGTAAAAATATTTTTGAGAAAGCGCAGGTGGGATTTTTTTAATTTTCATTTATTGTCTAAAAGAAATGCACTACGAAATAACTGTGTACTCGGACCTATTGCATACAGTATAAGAAAAACAGACCAAAACACAAAAACTTAACTATAACCACTGAACCATGAAAATGAGGTCAAGGTCAGATGACACCTGCCAGTTGGACATGTACACCTTACAGTCCTTCCATACACCGAATATACTAGACCTATTGCTTATAGTATCTGAGATATGGACTTGACCACCAAAACTTAACCTTATTCACTGATCCATGAAATGAGGTCGAGGTCAAGTGAAAACTGTCTGACGGGCATGAGGACCTTGCAAGGTACGCACATACTAAATATAGTTATCCTACTACTTATAATAAAAGAGAATTTAATATTACAAAAAATGTTAACTTTTTTTTCAAGTAGTCACTGAACCATGAAAATGAGGTCAAGGACATTGGACATGTGACTGACGGAAACTTCGTAACATGAGGCATCCATATACAAAGTATGAAGCATCCAGGTCTTCTACCTTCTAAAATATAAACCTTTTAAGAAGTTAGCTAACGCCACCGCCGCTGCCGGATCACTATCCCTATGTCGAGCTTTCTGCGACAAAAGTCGCAGGCTCGACAAAAATGCTTGTTTTTGCCCCTTTTTGGCCCCTAATTCCTTAAATTTTGAGGCAATTACCCCCAAAATCAATCCTAGCATTCCCTTTGTGATATGGAACCTTGTGGTACAATGTCAGAGAGATCCATACACTTACACACAAGTTATTGTCATGAAACTAGAAAAATGCTTGTTTTGGCCCCTAATTCCTAAAATTTGAAGGCAATTACCCCCAAAATCAATCTCAGCATTCCCTTTATGATATGGAACCTTGTGGTACAATGTCAGAGAGATCCATACACTAACAAGTTATGTCTGGAAGTTACAACTAGAGGCTCTAAAGAGCCTGTGTCGCTCACCTTGGTCTATGTGCATATTAAGCAAAGGACACAGATGGATTCATGACAAAATTGTGTTTTGGTGTAGGTGATGTGTTTGTAGATCTTACTTTACTGAACATTCTTGCTGCTTACAATTATCTCTATCTATAATGAACTTGGCCCAGTAGTTACAGTGGAAAATATTTTGTAAAAATTTACAAAAATTTACAAAATTTATGAAAATTGATTATAAAGGGCAATAACTCCTTAAGGGGTCAATTGACCATTTTGGTGCTGTTGACTTATTTGTAGATCTTACTTTGCTGTACATTATTGCTGTTTACAGTTTATCTCTATCTATAATAATATTCAAGATAATAACCAAAAGCTGCAAAATTTTCTTAAAATTACCAATTCAGGGGCAGCAACCCAACAACGTGTTGCCTGATTGGTCTGAAAATTTCAGGGCAGATAGATCTTGACCTAATGAACAATTTTATCCTCTTCAGATTTGCTCTAAATGCTTTGGTTTCAGAGATATGAGCCAAAAACTGCATTTTACCCTATGTACTATTTTTTAGCCGTCGGCCATCTTGGTTCGCGGGCGGGGTCATCGGACACATTTTTTAAACTAGATACCCTAATGATGATTGTGGACAAGTTTGGTTAAATTGTCCTAGTAGTTTCAGAGGAGAAGATTTTTGTAAAAGATTACAAAAGTTTACGAAAAATGGTTAAAAATTGACTATAAAGGGCAATAACTCCTTAAGGGGTCAACTGACCATTTTGGTCATGTTGACTTATTTGTAGATCTTACTTTGCTGAACATTATTGCTGTTTACAGTTTATCTGTATCTATAATAATATTCAAGATAATAACCAAAAACGTCAAAATTTTCTTAAAATAACCAATTCAGGGGCAGCAACCCAACAACGGGTTGTCCGATTCATCTGAAAATTTCAGGGCAGATAGATCTTGACCTGATTAACAATTTTACCCCCGTGTCAGATTTGCTCTAAATGCTTTGGTTTCAGAGATATAAGCCAAAATCTACATTTTACCCCTATGTTCTATTTTTAGCCATGGCAGCCATCTTGGTTGGTTGGCCGGGTCACCGGACACATTTTTTAAACTAGATACCCCAATGATGATTGTGGCCAAGTTTGGTTTAATTTGGCCAAGTAGTTTCAGTTAGTTAACGACGACGGACGCCAAGTGATGAGAAAAGCTCACTTGGCCCTTTGGGCCAGGTGAGCTAAAAATGCTTATTTTTTGTCCCTTTTTGGCCCCTAATTCCTTAACTGTTGGTACCATAACCCCCAAAATCAATCCCCACCTTCCTTTTGTGGTATTGAACCTTATGGTAAAATTTCATAGAGATCCATTCACTTAAACTAAAGGTAGAGTGCGAAAACCAGTGTGTCTTCGGACGACGACGACGACACCAACGTCATACCAATATACGACCACAAAATTTTTTTGTGGTCGTATAAAAATTGTGCACAGAGGACTTAGTTCAGTACATATACCTGCATAGGTTCAATAATTTCCTTAACAATAATATGTTGTACATGTACTTTTTAATTTGATTTGTTGTGTTTCTGTATATTTGGATATAACTTTTTACTACGAGTCGTTGTCTTTCGGTAACATATTTTATGAATACAAAGTAGTAGCATTCAGCAATTTCAGAAGATAAGTCTATGACTATTCAAATTCTAAGTCTATTTATATTATTTAGTTTAGATAATAATTTTTGAGATTTTTACTAACTCATTGATAATTCTTTGAATCCATTTTTTAACCAATTTTGTGAAGTTTTTAGTCTCTTAAATTTTTATATTTGATTTGATTTTGTATGCTATTAAACCTATTTTTTACTTTGCAGTTTCGTGTATGTACAAATTTGTGTATATTTTTTTAACATGGAAAGCTAAAGCCCTTGAGTAATTGTACGTTATATAACACGCTTAAAAAATTCCTTGTAATAATAATAATAACTTCAAGAAACCCGTTTCATATGACTTTAATCCCACACACTTGTTTGAATTTACTATCTAAAAGGATGAATTGATGATGCGTCAGGCCATTAAAATTAATGATTGAACTGAGACCACTTACTATACAATACACCAGAGAGATCTAAATAGAAAGAGTATATTTTCCTGCCTTTACCTGAGTGTCTGGATGATGTTTATGGAGTAGAGAAAATAGTTTAAAATAAATGAAGAATGTGTAATTAGGACACAGATGTCCCTGCTTGAAAATTTACGGCAAATTCTGCAATTTTTCAATTAACAAAGGGATATAACTCAAGAACAGCAAAAGTGACGCACCCCAAAATTTGAACTTGATCTGTGTTTGATGTTAATATGCATTGTGTATAAGTTTTATAACATTTGGTTTGAGGCAAACTAAAGTTAAAGTGTGCAAACAACAAATTTAGGAATTTTTCCATTTAAAAAGGGACATTACTCGAGAACGGTGAAAGTGATGCCACCCAAATTCAAAATCTGTGTTAGGTGGTAATAAGTATTGTGTTTTATAAAATTAAATTGAGGCAAACTAAATTTAAGGAACGGAAACTATTTTTGAGACATACAGTTGTACACCAGACAAGGGCAAAACTTTAATGCCCCTCCGCCTCGGCGGGGGCAAAAAAATAGGTAAAAGAATAAGAAACAATATAGTGATAAGAGGAATAGAGAAAATAGCATGAAAAACAAGCATTCTGGTAGTTTTACATGGCAATACATAGTCCCCTATCAGTTAAAAATTCATTGTACTTGATCGGTAATTTATAATATTATTTATATGAAAAAAAAAAGTCCATATACATACTGTACCTCTCAACCTATGAAAATGGCCTGCATTGAAGAAGAAAATCTCAGGTCATAACACATACATTTTTTTTTAGCTGAATAAAAGCATTATGGGTACATTTCTTTACATTTTAAATCACACAGTTTCCAAAACATGTTCACATGATTAAGTATTAATCGCAAATAATTTAAAACTTAAATTTATTTTTTCATTTAATTAATAAACCAGATAAAAGGGTCAACATTTAGTTTCAAGCTAGGAATGGAATTTGAATTATTTCACCAGGTCACATATAGACAGAGAACATAATGTACACATGTTTATCAATACTTACTCTAAAAATAAAGTAAAGATTATTGTCCTGCTGCTAGTAATTGTTGTTGTACATATCCATTCCGTTTTGCACAATTTCCAGGTTGTACACTGTTTGATGTGTAAAATGAAACTACATATACTGTAATGAATAAAAAGTATTAATTATATATAATGCAGGTTTTGTTCATTCACTATAAATACAAAAAGTGTGCTAAAAAATATTTTTGTGTTTGATTGATGGGATCTATCACATGGTCTTTATATACATTTACAAAAATGTATAAATTCATCAAGTGTACTCAGATTTCCTCTACAAATGGAATTGATTGGCATAATTGTGTTCTGTCCAGGATGTTTTTTGTGCATTTCAAGCATCAATATTAAGCATTGAAATTTACTACATTTTGAATTTCCTTTATTTCACCCTTACATTTCAAAATTTACAGCAAGGTTAAAATTACAACAACATTTGTAGTTCATGGACAATTACTGTCCCGGGAGTCATTGTGTGTTCATAAATCTGAAAATGAATTTTCTTTTCTCAGAAACTATCCTCCATATACAGGTGTAGGAGATCGTATCCACCAAGTAATAGGAATGAAAACAAAATAACTAGAGACTCTTAAGAGCCTGTGTTGGTCATCTGTGTACATCTTAAAACATTGTGGACTAGAAAAGAATTCATGAAAAAAGTCTTGGTTTTATAAAAATAAGGCGATGAAGTATGATTGCCGATGAGGCTTCTATCCACCAAAGGTCAAATGAACATGATGAAGTCGATGTAAGCAATTATAGGCAACCCTACTGTCTTCAACAATGAGTAAAACCCATTCCAGATAGTCGGCTATAAAAGGCCCCCAACATGAAAAATAAGAAACAAATCAAATGAGAAAACTAACAGCCTAATTTATAATTTTTTTTACTAAAAACAAATATGACAGACATGAACCATCAACAACCACTGAAATACAGGCCACTATACTGGCCTCCTTCTTCATGTCTTGTCACTGAATGCAATTACTGTGGAATCATTATAACTAATGTGATACCAATTACTGTCATTATAACTAATGTGATACCAATTACTGTGGAATCATTATAACTAATGTGATACCAATTACTGTGGAATCATTATAACTAATGTGATACCAATTACTGTCATTATAACTAATGTGATACCAATTACTGTCATTATAACTAATGTGATACCAATTACTGTGGAATCATTATAACTATATAATGTGATACCAATTACTGTGGAATCATTATAACTAATGTGATACCAATTACTGTCATTATAACTAATGTGATACCAATTACTGTGGAATCATTATAACTAATGTGATACCAATTTTTGTTGATTTTGTGGGTATAGGTAAACCACAAATTCAAACATTCAACGAAGTAAAAGTTTTCTATAGGTTTGTTTGCAGATTTTGACAAAATCATGAAATCACAATTGTTCCTCAATCCACAATAAATTGCTTCGCCGGGCGCAGCTGGATGTGACCGCAGAGGTCCAACCCTGAACAGTTGGGGCAAAAATGGACACAATATTTACGCTTGATACAGGTCTGAATTTGGATTGTAATTAAATATTTGACACATAATAGGTTTCTGACACAGAATAACTGTAGTCATATATGATTTGAAATTATATTTAATTTTCTGCTTTTGTGCAATACACTGTGCCTGTGCGAATTGACCCCCCACCCCCCAAAAAAATAAATAACAAGAGGCTGTCAGAGTGACAGCAAACCAGATTTTCCTGCAGAGGTCGAACCCTGAACAGTTGAGCAAGTATAGACACTACATTTAAGCTTTAAAACAGCTCTGAATTTGGATTGTGATTGAATATTTGACACAGCATAGGTTTGTGACACAAAATGAATGTGGTTTAAGAACTGAAATACTTGAAATTGGACATTTAAATACCTATTATGGTCCAATATCAAAAATCTAAGTACATATTAGAATCAGCATATCAAAGAACCCCAAGAATTCAATTTTTGATGAAATCAGACAAAAGTTTAATTTAAGACCCTTTGGACCTCAATGTGGACCAATTTGATAAAGGAGCCCACAATCCAAAATCTCTCAATACATGGTTAGATTCAGCATTTCAAGAACCCCATCAATTATTTTTTTGTTGAATCAAACAAAGTTTAATTTTGGACCCTGATTTGGACCAGCTTGAAAACTGGGCCCAAAAATCTAATATTTAAATACAGGTTTAGATTCAGCATTTGAAAGAACCCTATTTAATTTATGTTGAAATGAAACACAGGTTAATTTTATCCATAATATTTTCTGTGCAAAGGGAAATAACTCAAACTGGATATGATGCAATTTTTCAAATTATAATCAATAATATAATAACAACAACCAGTGATGACTAAGTTCTCTAAAATTAGATATGATTTAACACTCAAACATTGTTAGAATCAGCATATCAAAGAACCAAAAAATTCAATTTTAGGTGAAATTAATCAAAAGTGTAATTTAGGACCCTTTGGACCTCAATGTGGTATTATTTTATTAATAATGAAAAGAAATACAGGTTTAGATTAAGCATTTCAAAGAACCCTATATATATTCAATTTATGTTGAAATCAAACACAGTTTAATTTTGGACCCCAATTTGGACCAACTTGAAAAGTGGGCCCAAAATCAGAAATCTAAATATATGTTTATTAATAGACAATATAAGCTTAGTTTTTAAAGGAGTTTACTTCATAAAAAAAAATATATAGCATTCAGAAAATTAGTTTTTACAGAATAACAAACAAACTTGCCACAAAATTCTACAAACAATTTATCAGTAACAAGAAATAATTGTAACAGAATGCTGTGACGAGGTCTCCCAAACAAAGCTCCAATAGTTCGTCATTCCCATTGTCGCTTGACATTGGGCAATGTCCAGTACAAATTGGTTTATGATATGCATTAGTGACGCCTATGGATATACCCTGTATGTCATTCAAATCTTCTTGAAATTACGAACAGGAATTTATATGGTTAAGGGGTGGCGATCTCGACCGTTTACAATTTTTCAAAAAAAGGGGGTGGGGTGACCCCAGGGGAACCCCCTCAATTTCATTTGATTTGTTTTATTGTCCCATTCAAGAATATATATGGTTTAGGGGTGGGGATCTCAACTGTTTACAAGTTATCAAAAAGAAGAGGGGGTGGGGTGACCCCAGGGGACTCGCCTTGTATTTCATTTGATTTGTTTTATTGTCCCATACAAGAATATATATGGTTTCGGGGTGGAGATTTTGACCGTTTACAAGTTTTCAAAAAAAAAGGGGGGTGGGGGTGACCCCAGGGGACTCCCCCTCAATTTTATTTGATTTGTTTTATTGTCCCATTCAAGAATACATATGGTTTAGGGATGGGATCTCGTCTGTTTACAAGTTATCAAAAAGAAGGGGGTGGGGGTGACCCCCATGGACTTCCCCTATATATCATTTGATTTGTTTTATTGTCCCATTCAAGAATATATATGGTTTAGGGTGGGGATCTCGACGGTTTACAAGTTCTTAAACAGGATGGGGTGGGGTGACCTCAGGGGACTCGCCTTTTATTTCATTAGATTTGTTTTATTGTCCCATACAACAATATATATGTTTCAGGGTGGGAATCTTGACCGTTTACAAGTTTTCAAAAAGAAGGGGGGTGGGGGTGACCCCCATGGACTTCCCCTATATTTCATTTGATTTGTGTTATTGTCCCGTACAAGAATATATATGGTTTAGGGGTGGGGATCTTGACCGGTTTCAAGTTCTCAAACAGGAGGGGGTGGGGGTGACCCAAGGGGACTCGCCTTTTATTTCATTTGATTTGTTTTGTTGTCACATACAAGAATATATATGGTAACAGGGTTGGGATCTTGACCGTTTACAAGTTTTCAAAAAGTAGGGGGTGGGGGTGAACCCGGGAACTCCCCAAATATTTCATTTGATTTGTTTTATTGTCCCATACAAGAATATATATGGTCTAGGGGTGGGGATCTCAACCGTTTACAAGATAAAAGCACATTCTCAAATTGAAAGGGGGTGGGGGTAAGAATATATATGGTTTAGGGAGACTTAATTATCTACAAAATGTCTAATATATACAGTCCTACAGATCTTATCAGGAAACAGAAAATTTTCAAATAAATCTGTCACTCCAATGATATTATATGCTAAGATATAACCCAGATCTAATTAATAATTAATAATGTAATTAACTTCAAAATGTCTAATAATATAGCTTAAAATCATTACCACTTAGAAATAGATAATTTTCAAATAAATCTGTCACTCCAATATTTTGTTGTGAGATAAGACATTATGCTTAGTCATAAAAAAGATAACAAGAGTAAAATATTTAAAAATTCCACTTTTGGATATTAAAAATGGCGATAACTCACAAAGGAGATATACTAATATCTTGAAAATTGAACTAGACCTTCATTAAGTCCCCAAAAAAAAATTTGTTTAAGCGTTTTCATGTTATTCTGCTGACAAGCTGTTTGGCAGGCGCCTGATCTGCCCGCCGTATGTCACCATTTTAATAACGGATATTTCCTTCGAAAATCCGGTTAAAAACTAACCCATTTTTTGTTTGCTTTTGTGCAATACACTATGCTGTTGCGTATTGAACCCCATCCACCCTTTTTTTGCAAAAAATAAAGTATGTGAAGAAATTTTGTTTAATTTCTGAAATCTGAAAAAAATTGCTAACCCCCCCCTCCCTTTTTCAAACAAAAATTCTTTCCCTCAAGATATGGTCATAATCTCAATTAAAATTACCAATGGAGTTTGCAACCATAATTACCCATTTAAATTCATTATAAGTCTTAAATAGATAATTTAAAAGCAGTGTAAGGGAGGTAATCCAACATTGTACAATTTTGTTTTTGGATTACCTCCCTTAAATTGCTTTTAAATTGTCCATTAACCAGAGACCCTTGTTTTTCCCCCTAATTCCAAAACGGTTTGAGCCATAACCCCCCAAAGCGTGAGTGAATGTTTTTCAATCTTTGCTTTTTCTCTGTGCCATTTTTTAAAACCTTTTTCTTCTTGAAAAGATTGTCTGCTTCTTGATTTTTCATTTTCAATTTGGCATCTACTGTTTTTTTATCATTGATAGTAACTTTCTAATTTGTTTCCAATTTAGTTCTAGGTGTAAATACATGTAGCTTACAAAAATATAACACATAAAGACTATTTTCATTATACAAAGACTTTGAATGAAACCAATAATACAGTTTCAGTTACTTTAGTCATTAGTTTTGTGTCAATTTTTACAGCTGAGTTGATAAGAGTTATCTTTCATAGTACATTTGTATCTTACAATTGTTTGTCTTTGATACATTAAATCCAGCTTCACTCCCACATTTGGCTGTTATACATTTTTCATCCTCTCTTAAAATCATAAATTTAAATTCTTTCTGTGCACCATCTGCTGGAAGTGTAACTTTAACTGAACCACAGGCCCCAACGCCACTCTGAAATACTTTATCCATGCTCTGGAAAAAAGGTACTCCTGGCTGAAAAAATAAATAAATATATATGTCATATACATGTACATTGTATATAAACAGGGAAGAAACTAGATGTAGATCAGGGCTTATACTACTTCAGTGTCACAGAGAAATGAAACTTCTATTTTGTTAAACCAACATTAAGTAGTAGTAAGATCTTGAAATAGAAGTGGTTGTTTGCATGTGATGCCACAATATTTGCTTATGGCAATATTGTCATTTTGTAATTTGTATTCTTTTTCTTTGTAAGTGGCCAGTGATGCTCTGCCGACGAATTGTCTTGCCAACTCGCCCCACTTACATGTATGAAAAATAGTAAAATCCCGAGGTATTCATGGAATTAATCCTGCTAACTCACCCCACTTATGAAAGATAGTTTAATCTACTTGTATATATACACAACTGCTAAAAGAACAATAGAAAGAAAAAAAAACACTTGTAATACAACTAAAAAAATGTAACTTTCAAACAAGTATTTTTTTTGTACATTCGATTTTACTGCTCTAGAAATCATGAAGATTATTTTTTATATCAGAATATTAATTCATACATAAACATTTATTGAAAGAAGAGGTTTAATCTATTAAAAAGTTGAGTATTATTCAGTAATCCTAATTAAAACAAGAAATGAATGTAACAGGATGCTGTTACGAAGTCTCCCAAACGAAGCTCCCATAATTCGTAATTCCCAGGGTCGCCTGACATTGGGCAACTTCCAGTGAAAATTGGTTTGGTCCAGTAAAGTTACATGCATTAGTGATGCCTGGGGACTAACCTTGTATATCATTCAAATCATCTTGGCATGACAAACCAGAATATATATGGTTTAGGGGTGGGGATCTCGACCATTTACAAGATACTAGAACATTGGGGGTGGGGAGGAACCCCTGGGGACTGGCCCTATACATCATTCAAATGTTCATTACATGACGAACAGGAATATATATGGTTTAGGGGTGGGGATCTCAACCATTTACAAGATATTAGAACATTGGGGGTGGGGGGGACCCCTGGGGACTGACCGTATACGTCATTCAAATGTTCGAGACATGACAAATAGGAATATATATGGTTTAGGGGTGGGGATCTCAACCATTTACAAGATATTAGAACTTTCTCAAATGGCAGGGGGTGGGGGTGACCCCTGGGGACTAACCCTGTATTTCATTTGATGTGCTTTATCATGACAAACCAGAATATATATGGTTTAGGGGTGGGGATCTCGACCATTTACAAGATATTAGAACTTTCTCAAATGGCAGGGGGTCGGGATGACCCCTGGGGACTAACCCTGTATATCATTCAAACCATCTTAGCATGACAAACCAGAATATATATGGTTTAGGGGTGGGGATCTTGACCACTTAGAAGATATTAGAACTTTCTTAAATGGCAGGGGGTGGGGGTGACCCCTGGGGACTAACCCTGTATTTCATTTGAAGTGCTTTATCATGACAAACCAGAATATATATGGTTTAGGGGTGGGGATCTCGACCATTTACAAGATATTAGAACTTTCTCAAATGGCAGGGGGTCGGGATGACCCCTGGGGACTAACCCTGTATATCATTCAAATCATCTTGGCATGACAAACCAGAATATATATGGTTTAGGGGTGGGGATCTCGACCATTTACAAGATACTAGAACATTGGGGGTGGGGAGGAACCCCTGGGGACTGGCCCTATACGTCATTCAAATGTTCATTACATGACGAACAGGAATATATATGGTTTAGGGGTGGGGATCTCAACCATTTACAAGATATTAGAACATTGGGGGTGGGGGTGACCCCTGGGGACTGACCGTATACGTCATTCATATGTTCGAGACATGACAAATAGGAATATATATGGTTTAGGGGTGGGGATCTTGACCACTTACAAGATATAAGAACTTTCTTAAATGACAGGGGGTGGGGGTGACCCTGGGGACTAACCCTGTATTTCATATGATGTGCTTTATCATGACAAACCAGAATATATATGGTTTAGGGGTGGGGATCTCGACCATTTACAAGATATTAGAACTTTCTCAAATGGCAGGGGGTCGGGATGACCCCTGGGGACTAACCCTGTATATCATTCAAACCATCTTAGCATGACAAACCAGAATATATATGGTTTAGGGGTGGGGATCTTGACCACTTACAAGATATTAGAACTTTCTTAATGGCAGGGGGTGGGGGTGACCCCTGGGGACTAACCCTGTATTTCATATGATGTGCTTTATCATGACAAACCAGAATATATGTGGTTTAGGGGTGGGGATCTCGACCATTTACAAGATATTAGAACTTTCTCAAATGGCAGGGGGTCGGGATAACCCCTGGGGACTAACCCTGTATATCATTCAAACCATCTTAGCATGACAAACCAGAATATATATGGTTTAGGGGTGGGGATCTTGACCACTTAGAAGATATTAGAACTTTCTTAAATGGCAGGGGGTGGGGGTGACCCCTGGGGACTAACCCTGTATTTCATTTGATGTGCTTTGTCATGACAAACCAGAATATATATGGTTTAGGGGTGGGGATCTCGACCATTTACAAGATATTAGAACTTTCTCAAATGGCAGGGGGTCAGGGTGACCCCTGGGGACTTACCCTGTATATCATTCAAACCATCTTAGCATAACAAACCAAAATATATATGGTTTAGGGGTGGGGATCTTGACCACTTACAAGGTATTAGAACTTTCTTAAATGGCAGGGGGTGGGGGTGACCCCTGGGGACTAACCCTGTATTTCATTTAATGGGCTTTATCATTTAGAACATTTTCAATTAAAAAGATTGTGTCTATCACAAACGGTTTTCAATTTATAATCATTTGAAAATTTAAAAAAATAAAATCCCATAGGGTTCTATAGTAAAACCCTCTTTTCTTTTTGCCCCTCAAAGTACCCCTTTATAAACCCCATTGCACAAACAAAACCCTGATTGCACCACTAGACATGTTAGTCTAACATATTGTGAAACCCTAAGTTAATCTGACAAGCGGTTTTGGAGAACGGGTGCGGACAAGTTCAAATTTAAAAGCGGCGGAAGAAGAAGAAGAAGAAGAAGAAGAAGAAGAAGAAGAAGAAGAAGAAGAATAATAATAATAATAAGAACTGAGCAAAAACAATAAGTCTTCCCAAACTTCGTTTGGGAGACTTAATAAATGGGGAATGTGTTCATGGGACACCGATGATGCCCCTGCTTGCATATAATATTATAAAGGGACATAACTCAAGAACTGTAAAAGTGACGCTACCCAAATTTGTAATTGATCTCAGTTTTGTGGTAATTTGCATTGTGTATATGTTTCATAACATTTAGTTGAGGCAAACTTAAGTTAGAGAACAGAAACGAAAAATCCAGCAATTTTTCCATTTGTAAAGGGGCAAAACTCTAGAACGGTAAAAGTGACGCCACCAAAGTTCAAACTTGGTCTGTGTTTTGTGGTAATAAGCATTGTGTATAAGTTTCATAATATTTGGTTGAGGCAAACAAAAGTTAGAGAACAGAAACAAAAAAATTAGGAGTTTTTACATTTTTAAAGGGGCATAACTCTAGAACGGTAAAAGTGACGCCACAAAAAATCAGACATGATCTGTGTTTTGTGGTAATAAGCATTGTGTATAAGTTTCATAACATTTAGTTGAGGCAAACTAAAGTAAGAGAATGGAAACTAAAAATTCAGCAATTTTTCCATTTGTAAAGGAGCATAACTCAAGAACGGCAAAAGTGATGCCACCAAAATTCAAACTTGATCTGTGTTTTGTGGTAATAAGCATTGTGTATAAGTTCATAACATTTGGTTGAAGCAAACTAAAGTTAGAGAATGGAAACCAATTTTGGGACGTAAAAATTAATGGCCCCTCCGCTATGGTGGCGGCATAAAAATAACCAGTGATCATGAACACATTTTGGTCTTATTTCTTTGTATGAAACCATTTGTGTTACATGTAAATTTACGATAGCACATGCCATCCATTCAAATTCTATTTATGACTGACACCTCATTCTGTTAATTGATGTAATGAGACATGTGTTATTTTATTCCAATATCACATCTAAATTTACTTATTTACATATTTCAGTTAACCCATTTTAAAATTCATACTTATACATCTTTTTGTAATTGTTATGGCAATATCCAAGATAACTTCAGTAGGCCAGACCCAAAATGATCAGTCCTTACTACAGACAGACTTGGCAGACTCAAACAAGTCCATTCATCTAGTGGGGCGAGTTGGCAGACCTTTATTCATCTGGATTAAACTCCTTTTCATAAGTGGGGCAAGATTGTAGTCTTTAATGCAGTACGGTTTAATTCTTTTTTTCATGAGTGGGGCGAGTTAGCAGACCTTTATTCATCGTAAACTGACCTAATCACAAACTAATACATGAAAGCTAAGCAAAGTTTCAAAGTCAATAGACCTTGACCGAGGCCAAAAAATCTCCATGGTAATGAGATGTGCCAATGCTTATACAACTGCATACCAAATATCATTGACCTACCACTAGTGGTTCACCATGAACTAGACCTAATCACAAACTAATACATTGTTGCCGCCGCTGCCGGAAACAGCATACCTATGTCTCGCTTTTTGGCTCCATCAAAGTGAGACAAAAACTGGATTAATACCTCAACTGGTGTATCTCACTATATGTCGAACAGTGTATTATACCTGAATAAAAGTACAAAATGTATAATCCACCAATTGGTGGTAATTCTATACAATACAATACAATATTTTTATTGTCAATCAAGGACGCCCTAAGAGAGCAGTATAATTACAAATAATTTATTACAATGATTATTATTAATTCTTAATGATATATAATGACAAAATATAGAATAGAATAAAAATAAACACAAAAGAAAAAGCAAAACCCCAGATATGTATATATACATGTATTAACATATAGAAATGTTGAGGCATACGCTGTATATCAACTGATTATGAAATTATGGATATCATTAGTGCCATAAAATTCAAATTTGGCCTATGAATGATTCAATGGGTCAGTTAACCGGCATCATTTACTTTTTTTAACATAATATTATCCCTCTCAGTCCAGATCCTGATTATTAAATTACATAGGCGTTTTAGAACTTCTAGATTCTCACAACCCATTAGCCATATAAACATATTTTCGGTGCTACATTTCTTTAGATTAGGATAAGAAATACAAAGTTCTTTTATGTCCCTTTTAAAAAATTTTTTTCTATAAGTTTCTAATTTTTTGCATTGAAGGAGAAAGTGGATCTCATCTTCCACCTCCTCCTCACAAAGTTTACAAATACGCTCAGGAGCTGGGATGTTTTGGTTATTCTGTCCCTGTTATTTAGACTGCTACCGCTAGAGAATCAATCTGCTACTACCGACATGCACCCTTTTCGTACATTTCAACCATTCAATTATGTTACGTAAAATATACTTATTAAATAATAAAAATGTAAGGTTAAAATCTAAGAGCCCTGCAAAGCATCACCCTCCGGAGATGACATAATTACGGAAAAGTCATAATTTAACGTGATGCTGGAGGACCACACCTCGTTTGAGTGTTTTAAAATTAAAAATGCAATGACCGACCAGCATCCACAAGAAGAGTTCCAAAAAAATTGCAAAAGAACTTGATCTCTTTACCTTGCACATACAATGCAAGTACTTTCTTATTAAAGTCTATGGGATACTATTTTTTTAGATGTTTAAAATTTCGCACGGTAGTGCGCCAACTTACATGAAAATCCGATGGATCTGATGCATAGTACTGGTAATTTGGTGCTGGTCCATAAATTCCGCAGACATTCCCACAAACACATTTTCCATCATTTAAAAGATATTTCACCCAGTCTGTCCAACCTGCCATAGTGATAAGTGATGCCGGTTACAGAGGTTCCTCTTCTCGTGCTGTGCTAAAGAGACAAATTATTGCGCGAAAGGAAGTGGTTTCTTTTTGTTTTAAGTTTGATACATCAAAACATGAACATAACAAACACCTTCAATTAATGATACGTTAGGCCTTTATCTGTCTCGAAAACAAATAATTCATTTAAAACATGAAATCGAAAATATTTTATTTTTACAGAACTACTTTCCTATAGAAATAGCGGTTGTTCGCCTTAGTGATGGTAAAATCCGGAAACAGTGGCGGATATCTATTTCGGATAAGGAAGTTCGGTTGCTTTACATAATAAATAGTTTACCTAAAATGTTAGTGTTAATGTAAATAATATAATTACTTCTATCTCACTACTGATATAAGTGTTATTAGTTTTTACTTAAATCTTTATCCTGTTAGAGATATTGAAATGTATGTTGCTTTATCTCTGCTGCATCTTGCAGTGATAGAAACTTTAAGGCATATATTTTTTTTAAACATAACAGAATGAAGAGTCATAAGCTTTAAAGAATATTTAATCATATTTCTAAAATTCCTTAAACACAAAATTTGCTAAAATTGCATCAATGTTTGTCAAGCGAGTTTAAAATAAAAAGACAAGAGTAAATGGAAGGTTACTGTATAATGATTTCTCTATATAAAAAAGAAATTACTAAATTATAGAAGCATGCTTTCACTAACTTGAGTTTTTCTTATATTATAATATGATTGAGTATTTTTTTTCATAGATGTTTGTATACAAATTTGCAACATGTAAACCCAGTTTAATTGGGTTTGGTGATTTTTCTGGACTCATCATATTTTGTTGTCATTACTTTTGTTATTCCACTGACTGAGATAGTATGGAGTAGATTGAGTACAAATAAATTAAATTAACCACATGTTATTTTTATTATATATTCAATTCCTAAATAATTCATAATGGTCATTATTATAATTGCTTAATAATCTGTAAATATGAATAAAAGGAGATGTAGGGTATATAGATACAGCAACAAAACAACATAAAAAAAACCCCCAAAAAAACAAAATTTCTTCTTTAGACTTCTAATGGAATGTTCTTTGACATAGTAAACAAGTGAACAGCTGGTACTGTCAAGTGATTTCCCCTTAACTGCACATTCATTAAGAGAAAACATTTTAATTACAAGAATTGAAATACTACACCCACAAAAAAAGCTTGAAATTTTCCTTTATTTTCATCTATTTTTAGCAGCTGTGACCTTGACCTTTAACATTAAAACCAATAGGATTCGCCCCCTTCTCTTTAACTTCCATCAATACATGTTTCATTATAAACCAAAAAAATGAAACTTAAATGATACCATCACAAACAGACTTTTGTTTATAAATATAGCAGAAACCTTGACCTTTGACCTGTTTACCCAAACACAATAGGTCTCTTTCCCTTTTTTTATATCTTTCATAAGTATAAGTTTCCCTCCTATCAAGCAAGGAAACACAACTATCCAGAAACCATTTTTGCAACATTTTTCCCAAAGTATGTGATTTTCATCTTTAACCTATTCACCCAAAGTCAAAAAGTTTTTCCCCTGCCTTATACCTTCAACTTCTCTGTTAGAGTTTCAGTCCAATCAAGCCAGGGAAACTAAAGTTACCATCAAGAAACCATGTTTCCAACATGTTTCTATTTTTAGTTACAGTAACCTTGAACCCCAAAATCAATACATTCCTTCCCCTTCCCTATATATTCATCTGTATAAGTTTGGTACAAATCAAGGAAGGAAACACAAGTTTCCATTAAAAAGCATTTTGCCAACAATTTTCTTATTTTAGTAATTGGCCTTTTGATCCCAAAATCAATAAGCTTCTTTCCCTTGCCTATAAAGTCCATCTGTGTAAGTAAACCAACTTATTTTCGTGAGTGACTTATTCTCGCAACTTTTGAGAGTAGAAAAATAACGTGAATATAAATCGTCACAAATATGTAAAAATTGGGTCTTTCCTTATTAAACTACATCAAGTAAATTAGAATATCGTGAAATTAAATAGCCAAGAAGTGGACTAGAAAAGGTAAAACACAAAATAAAGTATCTGCAAAAATAAGTTGGTTTACAGTATTCAAGCAAGGGATACTCAAGTTATCATCTGAAACCATTTGTTAAGGACACACATGAAGGGAAGGAGGAACAGACAAAGTGATTTCTGCATCCCAAATTTTTTAAGGGTGGGCATAATAAAAATAAGGTGACATGATTGCCAATGAGACAGCTATTCACCAAAGGCAACAACTACAAGTTACCATACAGCCTTCTACAATGAGAATTATTCATATCATGTAGTAAGAGATAAAAGGCTGTGAGCATATAAAATGTGATTTCCAATTTAAACAATTAACAAAAAAAACAATAATAGCAGACAGCAAACAATGACAATGATTACAGGTTCCTCGCTCTAAACGTTTAGGGCAATTACCCCCAAACTCAATTCCAGCTTTCCCTTTGTGATATGGAACCTTGTAGTACAATTTCAGAAAGATCCATACACTTACACACAAGTTATTGTCATGAAACTAGAAAAATGCTTGTTTTTTGCCCCTTTTTTGGCCCCTAATTCCTAAAACTTGGAGGCAATTACCCCCAAAATCAATCCAAGATTTCCTTTGTGATATGGAACCTTGTGGTACAATGTCAGAGAGATCCATACACTAACACACAAGTTATGTCTGGAAGTTACAAAAATGCTTATTTTTGGCCCCTTTTTGGCCCCTAATTCCTTAACTGTTGGTACCATAACCCCCAAAATCAATCCCAACCTTCCTTTTGTGGTATTGAACCTTGTGGTAAAATTTCATAGAGATCCATTCACTTAAACTAAAGTAAGAGTGCGAAAACCAATGTGTCTTCGGACGATGCCAATGACGCTGGACGACGACGCCGACGCCAACGTCATACCAATATACGACCACAAACATTTTTTTGCGGACGTATAATGAGTAAAATAAGTCTTTCAAGGACAATAAATCCTATAAGGGGTTAATCGGCTATTTATCCATGTTGACTTATTTGTAGAACTTATTTTGCTGAACACCTTTGCTTTTACAATTCCTCTCTACCTATTATAGTTTGTGCAAAAAATGAGTAAAATTAGTCTTCCAAGGGGAATAACTCGTATAAGGGGTCAATTTACAATTCATCCATGTTGACCTTTTTGTAGATCTTTTTTGTTCTGGTCATTTTTAATGCTAAATATTTCTCTCTGTTATTAGTTTTCAAGATATTAAACCCAAATCTGTAAAATTTGCCAAAAAATTGCATCTCAGGGGCTATAACTCCAAAATGGCTCGTCCTATTTTTCTGAAAATTTTGCAGAATAGACCTTGACCTTCTGATCAATTCTACCCCATGACAGATTGCTATAAGTGCTTTAGTTTTAAGATATAAGCCAAAAGCTTGAAATTTACTAAACATTGACATTTCAGGGAAAATGGCTAGTTTTATTTTGCTGAAAATTACACAGGAGATAGACCTTGACCTATTGATAATTTTTAATCATTCAGATTTGCTCTAACAGCTTTAAAATATTAGCCAATAAAATGCTCAACTGGGGCGCAGCTTGATACGACCGCAGAGGTCGAACCCTGAACAGTTGGGGCAAGTATGGACACAACATTCAAGCTTGATACAGCACTGAATTTGGATTGTAATTAAATATTTGACACAGCATAGGTTTCTGACACAGAATGAATGTGGTCTAAGAACTTAAAAATTTTTTAATTTACCTATTCAAACCATATCATTATTATTTGCTTTTATATATAAATCAGAAATAACCAATTTAAAATGGAAAATTTTACAGAAAAAAAAGGAAAAAAAAATCCCTCCCCCAATTTTTAGAACCCCCTTATGATTCATCACCCCCAAACTCAATCCCAGCCTTCCCTTTGAGGAATGGTAGCTTGCAGTACAATTTCAGAGAGATCCATTCACTTGAACACAAGTTATTGTCTGGAAACTAGAAAAATGCTTGTTTTTTGGCCCCAAATTCCTAAACGTTTAGGGCAATTACCCCCAAACTCAAACCCAGCTTTCCCTTTGTGATATGGAACCTTGTAGTTCAATTTCATAAAGATCCATACACTTACACACAAGTTATTGTCCTGAAACTAGAAAAATGCTTGTTTTTTTTTTCCTTTATGGCCCCCAATTCCTAAAATTTTGAGGCAATTACCCACAAAATCAATCCCAGCCTTCCCTTTGTGTTATGGTACCTTGCAGTACAATTTCAGAGAGATCCATACACTTGAACACAAGTTATTGTCTGGAAACTAGAAAAATGCTTATTTTTGGCCCCTTTTTGGCCCCTTATTCCTAAACGTTTTGGGCAATTACCCCCAAACTTTATTCCAGCTTACCCTTTGTGATATGGAACCTTGTAGTACAATTTCATAAAGATCCATACACTTACACACAAGTTATTGTCATGAAACTAGAAAAATGCTTGTTTTTTGTCCCTTTTTGGCCCCTTATTCCTAAAATTTGGAGGCAATTACCCCCAAAATCAATCCCAGCATTCCCTTTGTGATATGGAACCTTGTGGTACAATGTCAGAGAGATCCATACACTAACACACAAGTTATTGTCATGAAACTAGAAAAATGCTTGTTTTTTGCCCCTTTTTGGTCCCTAATTCCTAAAACTTGGAGGCAATTACCCCCAAAATCAATCCCAACATTCCCTTTGTGATATGGAACCTTGTGGTACAATGTCAGAGAGATCCATACACTAACAAACAAGTTATGTCTGGAAGTTACAATAAAATGCTCCGCAGGGCGCAGCTTGATACGACCGCAGAGGTCGAACCCTGAACAGTTGGGGCAAGTATGGACACAACATTCAAGCTTGATACAGCTCTGAATTTTGATTGTGATTAAATATTTGACACAGCATAGGTTTCTGACACAGAATGAATGTGGTCTAAGAACTTAAAAATTTTAAATTGGACATTCACCTATTATGGTCCAATATCCAAAATCTAAATACATGGTTAGATTCAGCATATCAAAGAACCCCAAGAATTCAATTTTTGATG